ATCATAAAAGTTGATTACAGTGTTTCAGTAACTTAAAACTCAACCAAAAATTGAATGTGTCACATCTTTACCTCAATACAAATGTACTAGTTGTAAGGGTGGTCTTTAACTCACATTTGAATATTGCAAGTTTCAGCCTTATATAATTAAATTTCAAAATGTTATTTATTTAACTGTCAGTATGGTTTGTAGAAATATTTAAACTTATGAATGATTATCTTTCTACAGTAATGCATTCATTGGCAAAATAATCTAAGGCACCAATATATTTTTTACACATAATATTTTTTTTCAAAGACAAAATGATGTCAACAAATAAACTGGAGTTTAAAATGCTTCTGTAAGTTTCAAATTCATATATTTTGTTCAAGGTTGAAAGTCTGTTGCTTTTAATTATATTGTTAGTTAATTTGTTAAATTGTTCTGAAAACCACTATTGATGTAGATTGAAAAAAAAATACACAAAATAAATTTTCATGTAACAAAGTTACTTGAAATATCAGAATTCTTAGATTTACCATAATTGTTTAACAAGAAGATTATGCAAAAGTTTAACATAAATATAATTAACATTTTGTCCTTTTCATTTAAAAATTATACAATTTCTTTTTATTGGAATATTTTGAAATTTTGGTGTTCATCTTTAAGTTGTCTCTGTTACTGTATGTGACATAAATAACATTAAAGATTAATTGCATTACATAATATTACTGTCAATTTTTCATACCCATTTGATATGATTTTGTTTACTATATAATGACTTCGTTCACATGCTATTACATTATACTTGTATATTATAATCTGTGGCATTCCAAATAAAGTTTGTGTTCTGTTCTGTTCAGTATTGTAATAAATTAAGAAATAGATCTTAGTTTTGAGTGTGTTGTAATAAATGTATGGTATTGCACAGTCTGTGAGGGATACATAATCACAAGGAACACCATTGTGATAATTTAAAAAACATCTGGATTCTGTATCATGCAATTTTATTTCTTTAGCCTTCAAGTTGCATTAGATTTTACTCGTGCAAGCAGTGTAGACCTGAAGATCAACTATTACATCCATGCTGTCTAATAATGGTCTGTCTGCACTGTTCACTATAGAGTCAAAACTTAATTTTGAAATTTACCCTACAAATGATGAATGTTTTGGTGCAGATTGAAGGATAGACAAGTCCATTTAAGATATATAGTGTGCATGGGAAGGTTTATACAATGCATTTAAATCTATTCCATTCTAACATTTTCTTACTTTGGAAAGGACAGTAATACATGTAGTTGCAGAACTTACTTTGTGTGTCAGAGTGGTGCATATTTTGTGAATTTTTATCAAGATGGTAATCATCAGTGGTTAAATGTACAACAATTATCTGACTTCTTTGGTAATACACTTGTATGTATAAAAATTGTCTGCAGTGTAAGAATAGTGATTGAAAATGTTCCATCACAATAATAAAAGAGTATCATAGTGTATTACTGCACATTATCTTTTTTTGACACTTTATTTGCAATGAAAATGACAATCTTTTGTAAAATTTATTATATTTATTTTCTCCCACATTACCATGTATGTAACTATGATCATTTAAAACTGTCACAGAAAATCAGTGTTATAAATGACACTTTATTATCTTAAATTCACTGTGTGGGGTTAATATTGCTGGCTTTGAGATATGCTGAAGATCAGTAAATGTCCTGTCTGATCAAATAAGGCCCTTAATCCTGATTTTCTTGTGATACAAGATAACCCTTGAAGTGTGGCAGTCACTATTTTTTTCTAAGATGAAAGACCTGTTTCGGTGCTATATCAACATAAAATACAAGTGTTTGCCACCAGAGTAGAATCAAACCAGTAGGCATGCCCTCCCAGCTTCTATACTCCTACCTGTTAAATTTTCGATTTTTTTTGTTGTGTAAATTGAAACTTTTATTGACAGTTTATTAGATAATCGTAATAGATGTGTCCTGACTACTTCTTAAAAAAAGAAATTATACATTTAATAGATACCCTGACTATATCTATAAAGGAGAGATCATAAAGTAAATGTTCAGACCACATGTGTAAAAAAGAAGTAATAGCCTTGACCACATATCAAACTTGACCACATATGTAAAGAAGAAATCGTATTAAAGATAACCCTGACTACAGTTGTATATCTATGAAGAAGAAATCGTATGAAAGATGCCCTGACTATATCTATAAAAAAAAATAAATCATATAATAAATGCCCTAAAAGAAATCATATAAAAGTTGCCTTGACTACATGATAATTATACAATACTAGTAAACAATCATTTAATACTTACTTCAATGTAGTAGATGCCCTGACTATTTCAATAAAGAAGAAATCATATATTCTAACACTCACGTGATTTTGTCACTATAGACAAAGAAGGAAAAAAACTGGTGTTAAACTGCCAATAAACACCGGTTAGGGACTACTTGTATAATTATGCGCTGTTATGTTTTCACCCTAGATTGTATAGTTAACAAAGCATTTTAAAGCCACAATAATAAGCATTCTTATTTATATTTTCAGTTCGTATAATGTTTTGTTTTTCATACAATACCGAAATAATATCTCACATACACTAACGCCACATATAAAATCCATATCACTTAATAAACATTTTGACAAAACGCGCCAATCCGTAAGCAGCGTAATGACGTCATCCTAAGTAAACAACTCATTCATAAACAAGCTGACGTTATTTCATACATACAAGAATGATAAATGGGGCCCTGATGTAAACACAATACAACGTAATTTTTTATTGTTGAAAACTTGATAAAATAACGTTTTTTTCATATTATTTCTTTTGTTTAATAATTTCTATATCTTCGCCACAGTAGGGTGCGAAAATCGAACATACAAAAATCAGAACCGGAAGTTATTTCAGCTTGAAAAATAACATTAGTGATTTTCCTTATAATATCGTGTTAGAATCGCAATAACATCGGCCTAAGAGGTGTATATGGGCTATTTAACACCGGTTTTGTCGTTTTGATGCGACAAAATTAACCACTCAGGCCTATGGCCTTCATGGTCAATTCCTACGCATCAAAACTCCAAACCGGTGTTAAATAGCCGATATACACCTCTCAGGTCGATGTTATTTCTTAAGTAAATGCCCTGACTATATCAATAAAGAAGAAATCAATTGTTTAATCATCTGAACAAATAGTAATTAACCCAGGCTTTCACTGCTATAGGGACGGCATATGCAGTCCCTATTATTTTCGGCGTATTTGCCATATGAACGGCTTTTGCCGTTTCTATAATAATAATAATAATTATAATTATAATAATTATAATAATAATAATAATAAATATATAGATAATTATACCATCAACAATAATTATTATATACTAGCAGATTTGGAAACATATATAATTATTATAATACTAATAACAAATAATAATAATTATATTAATTAATAATATTGTTATTTCTTAGAAAACCTTCTGGCAAATAGGTGATCAATAAATAAATAACCCTCTGGCAGCGAAAGGGTTAAAGTATAAAATCTCCTAGGGAGCTGTACACCTAGATACCCAGCAATAAAAGTCTTAAATTATTCATGTGCTAGCAGACTAAAGAAACTAGGTTAAATGTTGCATCTCTCATGTCATATATAGATTTGTTATTGATTGATATGTACTTATATTATTTGAAACTGATGGGAACAAAGTATTAGTGGAACTATACTCCATATTGAGGAATAGAAGGATGAAAAAAGTTATGAAAATGTGTATTACGAAAAAATGTGTATAATAAAACTGTGACCTTTACGATAAAACTCAATAGTTTTAATTTTGTGTAAAAATATGTTTTAGTAGTTCTTCTAATATATATAATGATGGTTTTCTCATGTAATAAAGTTCTTTAACAGTGTGGCCTGACTGAAATAGCCGACTTACAATATTTGACAAGTTTTGTTAACATTCGCTGCTTCTTTATAATTTTATTTGTGTTCATAGATCTAATTGCTTAGTAAAAAAAACATTTACAAAACGACTTAAATTGGTTAATATGGGTCAGCTTTGCTTTTTGATGAGGACAATTTGAAACTGAAGTAAGTTACTTACTTTGTAGTTACTTACTTTGTCAAGAGGAATATCGTAGAGTTCTAACATTTTAAATAATCAGTGGTCGATACTATGAAGTGTTCTTCAGTTAATATTTTGATAAGAAATGTTTGAACTTAAAACTTGGAGATAAAAGAAGTGCATTAAAATCTCTACAATATAAAATGAGTTATTTGGCTTTGATAATGTTTTTTTCTTACCAAAATGCATTACCTCCTTGAAAAAGACGAGTTTATAAATTTTTGTTTTATTTATTGCTGCACTTTTGAATATTAAAGTTGGTTGTTTAAATAAAATTTTATTGCTTATATACAAAACATTATTGAAATGTTTAATGTGTTTTTCAGTGAATATGTAAACAGCTTCTTATATGATTTAGATTATTTGTTTAACTTCTTAACGTCGCCATTAGAATAAAGGCGCTAGCTTGTTCACTTAAAGCATTGAAATGAAAAATCATTATTCAATTTGACTTTTTTTAGTTCGGAAAATAAAAAAAAGTTAGTTATTTAGGCAAAAATTATCTGTGGTGAGAGGAGACACTAATTGGAAATAAATTGATTTGTAAGTGGGGACTTTGGAATATGTCTGTCAATAAAGAATGAAGATAATTTGTCAAGGAAAGTGCTGTACAGAAATAATTAGTTTTAGTGCCTGTAGTTATAGTTAATTTTGTTATCATAATAAGAAACAAGGTAGGAGAAATTACTTATTGTATTCTAATGTAAATAACAGTAAACATAAACATATTTAGAATATTCCTACCCCAAGCATGGAGCTGTGATACTAAAATTTGGCAGGAATTTTTGTTGCTTTTTGTAGTTTTGTTTCATATTGATGGAAACAGATTTATTTCGTTATTAAGACATGGATCTTAAATTATTAGATTATTGTTTATTTCTATTTATAGGTTGAGTTCAGCGGGCTCATCGCGACATTACCTATCTACAGCTAATTCACAGAAACGCCGATCATTCGGTCCACCACGATCTGTCAAATCTATGGCAAAGAGTGCTTCAAGTCAACGATCTCAAAGAATGGTATGTTAAAGTTTTATTCTATACATTTTTCTATAGATCAACTTTCAACAAATCAATAAAGAAGAAAATTGGACTCTTCAAGGAGCTAAATTGAGGTAAAAAACCCAAAAATCATAAAATTTGAATTTTTTACATTGATCAAGTGATTCACTAAAAGTGGTCAAAAATATGCAAAGGAGAATCAAGAAATACACTCAGAAATTAGTTGAAAATTGATAGATAATGCAATTCTTAGCTCAATTGAGTGAAAAGGGTTGCAACACTTCATTTTTGGGTCATTTTGCACAATAAAAAAATTGTATTCTAGAAAAACATTGTTAGGGATGATCGGAAAATGTACAGACAAGTTATTAGTTCAGACCTACATTTAATGTTTGCTAAACAAGTAAAAAATAGTCAGCATCATACTCTACATAATTACATACATAAATCAGTTTTAATCTTGAAAGTTGAACACTATAAAAATGGCACAAACAAATTAAGCTAGAGGCTAGAGCCTGTCTATTAATAAAGGATATAATAAATAACATACTACTGTGTTAGGATCCCCCTGTTGAACCGTTCAAGCAGGATTCAAACTAACTAAAGCACTTGCTCAGTGTTACCCAAGCCAAGGTTCTTTTAAAAGATTTATTATCTAAGAGCCATTTTTATGGTCATAACGTTTGTGAACTCACAATATGATCATTAATAACACTGTTTGCTCTTTAGTCAGTACTTATTTTGAAATTTTCCTGAATGGTTTTGTCCAGATTGAAAGATGGACAAGCCCATTTAAGATATTTAGTAGGGTTAGAGTTAATCTACCTACTGTTACATAACAGACCTACTTTCTGTTTAATTGAAATTAAAGTCTTGAATTTTTTATTTTTATAACACATTATAGGCAAGGATTTAGATTTTAGACACTGTGCCAAAACAGTTTTCTATAATGTCTACTTGAGAACTGACGGGTTTGGGTGAAAATTATTGATTATTTGAGAGAGTGGCTTCCAAAACGTATAAGTGTTAATCTATCAGCAAATATAAATATTGAATCAATCGTAATTTATGTAAATTGAATTTCAATCACTGTACTTTTAACTGACATTACCTATAGATAAGAATGTATGTGTTAAGACAGTAAATATTGACGAACAAAAGTATGATCTTGATAGGCACAGAATCTGCGATTCATTGACCTATTTTATCATCAATCATTCTTTTTTTAAAGAAGTATGTTCACATTATTTTAACTCAACTATTTGAACAAACTTATGTGTTTGAAGTATTAATAATTTAAGATATTTACTTGAAACTTCACAGTCATAATTGTATGTTAAATGTCCAAGACCCACAACTCTGACTATAATTTGTACTGAATTATTCCCCTCTTGAACTATTTAGTTATATGCATTACCGTTGATTACTTGTAGAGTTTCTTATTCCTTAACAAAGGCTTACAGCCAAGAAATGCTTCTGTAGCTTTTTGTATTCAGTGTTTATGATTGTAGTGAAGTGTTTCTTCAGCTGATTTTGTTATAATATTGCAAAGCAAGCATTTAAAGCTAGATCGCTTTCATTTGGAAAAAAAAAACAATTCTGTGTTTATTCAGGCAAAGTATTTCATTAATTTAATCCATCATATCACTGTTAAGCCTGATAAGCCATCTTCAAAATCAGCGTCCCTAGAGCTATTTATAAGGTGTAAGTGACATTCGTTTCTAAAAATAGATCGGGAAACGAATCGTTCGCTTTACTTATTTAAATATAGAGAGCAAGATCAGTAGATTAGAGGTATCGGGGTTTCATTTTTGTTTATGTATTTTATCATCGGCAATTTTCATTTCCACTTTAATTCTTTTGATTTATCAATTATATGAAACCATTTATCTAAAAATAACATATTTAAACTTATGAAAAGCTGAAGTTCGCTTTAAGCACATTCAAAGCCCATTATCTATATCAGTTGTTATATTTGCAGGCAACAGCACCCGCTCCAGATTTATCTGTAGAACCAGAGCTAGAAAATACGAATGAAAGTCCGCAGGGAAAACGCTTAGAAAAAGAATGGTCAGCCTTATCACAATGCCGTGCCTTAAAACGATCATCTGAGGTGAGTTATCTTTTACCTTCACAACAAATATGGTTTACAACAACATAGCTATTACAGTCTAACTTGCCGATGCGACCATGTGTATTAAGCGACTTTTGTCTTAAACGACCACTTTAAATTCCCCATGATCATTTTCTCTCTATATCTTTAATGTATTAAGCGACTTTTGCTCAACGCGACCAGCGACCGCTAATTAGTCACCTAAATGAGATCAATCTTTTCATTAAACAACCACTTTTACCTGTCAAGTAATTTTGTTTTTAGAGAACGCTGCCTCGTAAAGTGACAAGTGTCAAAAATCAAACACAACAAATAAACGTGTAAAAAACTCTATTTCCCAAACCGTTTTAGCGTATGCAAATGAAGTTAAGTATATGCGTGACGTGTATTATCCAATTATATCGAATAAACAACGCAACGCTCCGCCCCTACTGAGATGGTGTATACGCTTGGCTTGTTGACATTTAGACTGCATTGAATTGACCTTGAACTTGATCAGCAATTAAATTAATCGTAACAATTAGATGTAGTTTGTTTATTTCAAATGAAAAAATGCACAACAGAAAGTATCTTCACTAATAGGGTTTCCGTGTTGGAGACAAGGAAAAACAACGGAGAAGTTAAAAAATTCTGGAAAAAATGTCAAACATGTACGTAATGGATCAAAACTGTTTTGTCAATAAATATCAGAGTTATTTTTACATAAGCATCCATTTAGATTATCGGAGCGTACTAATTATTCAAAATTTATATAAAAATGAAGTTGAAAAACATTCCCACCGCATTAGAAAGATGTCATGTATAAATTTTGACTTTTATATCATGTTTTGTCTTAAGAGACCGTTTCATTAAGCGACCGTTTTGGGTATTTCCCTTGCGCGGTCGCTTAATACAAGTTTGACTGTATATAGAAAAAAAAAAGTTAAGAAAGTTGACAAGCTATCTGTAGCACATTATTTATTAGACACAGAGCCTTTTTCAGTTATTTCGGGAAAAGGCCCCTGGTATAAATTGGGAAAAATTATTCTGCATTTTGGGAAATTTAAGAAAATTTTAAGAATTGAAAATTACTTTATGACTTGTAAGTTTTTAACTTGTGTATAATCATATAACCTATCTGTTATTTTAAGAAACAAATTAAAACAGTTAATTTTTTTCTTAGGTGTTGAAACAGTTTGATATTTTTGGGCTGCGGTTGGGAATGTACTTTTTTTCAATTTGGAAAAAAGGGGCTATTTTGGATTGGAAATGGGGTTTTATTTCGGCCCCTGGTGATAGGTTGAAAATTCCCTGTTGCACCAGCAAATCTTCACAACTTATAATACAATTACCATTATATCTAACCCTAATATTAATACATGTACTATTTGATGGCATAGAAAATATTGTGGTATATTGTGATTATCAGAATTTTAGGTTCACTAATCTTATAACTGATGAAATTTTCCATATTTATTTTCAGATTGTATCACATAGGGTAGACAGAATGTACTTTATGTCAGGCAATAAACTCAAATTACAGTCAAAATATCATGTAGAAGATGGAGAATTACAGCATTTACGGGAGATGCAGGTGGCTCGTGCATCGTCTCGGGCATCAAGGTAGGTCACTGCTATATTTTGTGGTTAGAAGTTTGAGCCTTGAAGTGTTTTACTGTAGAAGTTCATAGCTTATTGAGTGACCTTTAGTGCTAATCGATCTTTATTAGTTTAATAATCTTAAACATAGAGATAACTATTCTGACTTGCCTTAATTATTGCTACAATTTCTTTGCTCATAGACTATTAGTACTATTATTATTTTTGCTTTTTAGCTCGACTTTTTTTTTTTTGAAAAAAAAAGTAGAGGTATTGTTATAGTCGGGTGGGCGTTGCCGTTCCCGTCCGCAAACTTGTACCTGGATCATAACTTTTTTATTTCTTGGTGTATTGTCTTCATACTTGGCCACAACAACCCTTGGGACAAGACCTTTCAGTAGACCACACTAACCTTGACCTTCATCCATAAATGACCTTGACCTTCAAGGTTAAAAGTCCAATTTTTGCTTGTTCATGCTGTTATTGGCTGTAACTTTGTTATTTTTGAATGGATTGTCTTCAAACTTGAACATAATAATCTTCAAAGATAACTGTTAAAAATATACCGAAAGACCTTAACCTTCACTCATTAATGACATTGTCTTTGAAGGTCAAATTATTGAAATTTTCATTGTTTTGGCGGTAACTGACTGTAACTTTGCTATTATTGAAGGGATCAACTTCATATTATAACAGAACATTCTTAAGGACCAGACCTTGTTGTTTATCAAACCCAAATTTGCTTGGGCTCTTTAATGACCTTGACCTTGGGTTAAATTACTGAATTTTCTCAGATTTGTGCATTAAATGACCATAATTATATATTTATTGGTGTGTGTGTGTGTGTGTATATATATATATATATATATACATATTTATCATCATCATCATCATCATCATCAACAACAACAACAACATATATTGCGTAATGTTTCTATTTATAGAATTGCGTAATGTTTCTATTTATAGAAATTGCGTAATGTTTCTATTTATAGAAATTGCGTAATGTTTCTATTTATAGAAATTGCGTAATGTTTCTATTTTTAGAAATTGCGTAATGTTTCTATTTTTAGAAATTGCGTAATGTTTCTATTTTTAGTGTTTCTATTTATAGAAATTGCGTAATGTTTCTATTTATAGAAATTGCGTAATGTTTCTATTTATAGAAATTGCGTAATGTTTCTATTTTTAGAAATTGCGTAATGTTTCTATTTTTAGAAATTGCGTAATGTTTCTATTTATAGAATTGCGTGTGTCTATTCATATATATATACAAAATAGATAAACAAAACTAATGTGACAAGACAGACCAACTAAATTTATAAACAGGAAACGTGAAGATATGTTCAAACCTTTCTATGTTTGCGTTTAGAAAAAGTAAAAAGTCGAGCGTTGCCCCCGCCCGGCGGTGGCTCTCGTTTTACTAATGATATCAAACTAAGATTCACGAATCATTAACAGTACTAACACTATATTGCTAGACTTAGGTGATGGTTTCAAATCTATTTTTAGTTCAGTACTGGCAAATTTTGATAATTTTTCCTTAACTGTTGAAAACTGTTAAATCTATTTAAATTTAGTCATGGTTTCTTTGAACTTTTAACGTGTTTTTTTTTTGCCTATTGTGATACAAAAGAGAAAGAACATCATAACACCCGGCAATCTGATTGATACTCAGGGGCAACGCTGCAAGGCCCCCTCATACAAATCAGATAGTGTCGTGTTTCCATGCTCTTTCTATTACATGTATTTTAGACCAGCTTGGAATAATTCCTGTTTTATTACACATCAAATATGTTTGAGGTTGGAAATAAGTTCACCTTTTAAAAAAGATAACTGTTCACTTAACAAACTTGTTTGACTGTATAATCATCAACATTCAGGTGTTTTTTTTGCCATTAACATTCTTGTCATAAAAGTTTTATTAAAATTTGCCTATATTACTTTAAAAAGGAAATTATGTTTGTTTCTCATTTCAATATTCTTTAGACAATATATTTTTTAATTCTTTGAGCTTCTTCTTGTACAGTATATTTTTGCTGCTATTATAATGTCATTCTGAATTTTTTTATTCCAAGAAGAAAATCTACCATTTGTTTTTGAATTGAAATAAGAAACAAACGGTTAATTTGTTATCCTTAACTAACATGCAGTGTGTTTGTGTGTAGAGCTGTAGTTTTCTATTTCTTTCTTCTAACCAGAGACAATATTCTGATAAAATATGATGATAAAACTTACAAGCGGGAACGACCATTCAGTGAAAATGATAAATTAGAAAAAATAGAGAGAAAATTGTCCAGTATAGAACACCGACTTAGCTATATCGAGGAGAAGTCAGGGGACGTTAAACATGCAAGGAAAATTAGACAGAGATCTATTCCGGTAAAAAATATCGGAGAAGATGATATGATATCGAGGTCAAGTTCCGAGTCTGGTATACACGAAGGTAGAGACTGTGATGTAGATGATCGTCATGACATAGATGTTATAGATAAAGAATTGAGTAAAAGACAAGCAATGAAAAAGGAAGTAAAAGATTATGGTGATGAAAATAATATCCGAAACTCGGTAAAGAAGTCAGAGATTCAACAAATGCCGACAGAGGTATTGAAAGAAGAGATAGATTCAGGTTTACATGTTTCAGACATTATGTCACATGAAGAAAATACAACAAGGGGTACAGTGATGTTTAAAGTATTTGAAAATTATCCGAATTCTATTCTTAGAACAAAGCCAGCTTGGAATATGAATAAGAAAGGCAACAAATTAACACTAGGAATTCCACGAGGAGTAAGAAGAGCCAAATTTACATCGAGACAAAAACAAATGACAATAGAGGAGGAGCAGGAGCTCATTTGTAAACCAATACCAATACAGTGTGGATATTGTAAGTGTGACAAACAGAGATGGTGCACAAAAAATCAGATGACAACTGATGACAACCAACAAGAGTACTTTGTTCAAAATTTTCCGTCAAGAAAACAACATGCTAAAATATTCATTGCACCAGTTGAATGTATTTGTCGGTCGGACCATGCTGAATACAAAGGGCCACGTTTGTCAATTACCGGTCACCAACTTCCTTTGGTTGACAGGGATATGTATATATAATGCTGCTCAATCTTTTTATCCTTTTTTTACATTTTAGCACTTTTTGCTCCTTTTTATTAAATTTTATTTATACATGTTATTTTTTTGTACAAGTGCAATAAATCTTATCAACTGTGAAAGATTCTTTTTACTTTTTACAGCTTTGTCTTAACGGCATCTTTTATGACTTTGCAGGCAATCAAATATGAAAATTGGGGAAATGCTTGAAATTAAAAGTTTTATCAAAATTAATGGCCCATAATGACTGCTTGTTATTGTCCAATAATTGCGACTTTGTCAGTAGCTGACAACCATGGAAAACCCTTCACAAAATTGTTGTCTCTAAATAAATGTGCTGATTTATGGCTATACTGAAAATCTGTCACCTTATGATTTTTTTAAAAATATATGTGAAAAAAAATAGAAAGTTGAAGTCAAAAATAGATTGTTATCAGTTGTGTGGATACAGAATAAGTATAACATTTGCTTCTGCTGATATGCTACAAAATTCCCAGAGGCTCTTCGAGACACTTGTAAGTCAATAGAAAAAAATCAACATTCAAGTGACAGAGGAAGGCAATTTCTTGTTTGAACTTACTTGAGTAATAGAGTGTAGAAATTTCTCTCTTGTTTTAATGGCGAAACAATGGTGAACAAGTAACATTTAAAATGTGAGCACCATCTTGGTATCTTGTACACAGACAGACAACTACGATCATACACATATTTTAATGTTTTCTTACTTGCTGGTACTTCATTGGTAAGTATGCTGGTATACTAACAAACTTCTTAGTTAGACTCTCTTACACAATTTATTAAAATTAACAGTAATAGATATTTCAGTTTCATCTCACACATTTTACTTGCAAATTAAATGTAATGTGTACATAAACATTGTTATGTTAGATTTCTGGTTTACATTACAATTTTGATTAAATAATCACATTTATATACCTGAAATGATCATATGTTGATACATATTATATTTCATAATGGTTTTATCATGCATGCACATCATTCACTAAGACTAGAAGTACATGCAAATTATTTAGAAAAGAAAGAGGAATTAACGAATGTTTAATTTTGTGACATAAAAAACAGCATAAAAAAGTAGTTGATACATATTTTTAAAAATTCTATTACATTTTAAACTTCATTATTATTTACCAGAATAAATATTTAAATTAAAGAAATAAAGAATTTTTTAATATTCAAACAAACAAATCTTGGACAAAACCCTTGTTGATGAATGTAATTGTGTACATTTTTGTCAGTTGTTTTTTGTACATGTTTGAACTTGTTTTTAATTTTTTGTCACAAATTTTTGTGAAACAATGTTCAGATTTTGGGGTGCTTTTGGGAATTTTGGTTACATTTTTTAACCTTTTGTTTTAAATGTTTTTGGTTTTAAACATGTATGTCAGAAATTAAACAAACAAACAAACAAACAAACAAAGATTGTTGGTGTACATGTATGACACATTGTGTATTTTTATGTCACATTGTTGATGTACATGAATATCAGATTATTGGTGCACATGAATTGTTGGTGTACATGTCAACATGAATATTAGACTGTTGGTGTACATGTATGTCAGATTGTTGGTGTACATGTATGTCAGATTGTTGATGAACATGTATGTCAGATTGTTGGTGAACATGTATGTCAGATTATTGGTGTACATGTATGTCAGATTATTGGTGTACATGTATGTAAGATTGTTGGTGAACATGTATGTCAGATTGTTGATGAACATGTATGTCAGATTATTGGTGTACATGTATGTCAGATTATTGGTGAACATGTATGTCAGATTGTTGGTGTACATGTATGTCAGATTGTTGATGAACATGTATGTCAGATTATTGGTGTACATGTATGTCAGATTGTTGGTGTACATGTATGTCAGATTGTTGGTGAACATGTATGTCAGATTATTGGTGAACATGTATGTATTTATGTCAGATTGCTGATGAACATGTATGTTAGATTGTTGGTTAACATGTATTTTAGATTGTTGGTGTACATGTATGTCAGATTGTTGGTGTACATGTATGTCAGATTGTTGGTGTACGTGTATTTCAGATTGTTGTTGTACATGTATGTATTTATGTCAGATTGCTGATGAACATGAATGTAAGATTGTTGGTTAACATGTATTTTAGATTGTTGGTGTACATGTATGTCAGATTGTTGGTGAACATGTATGTCAGATTGTTGGTGTACATGTATGTCAGATTGTTGGTGAACATGTATGTCAGATTGTTGTTGTATATGTATGTATTTATGTCAGATTGCTGATGAACATGAATGTTAGATTGTTGGTTAACATGTATTTAAGATTATTGGTGTACGTGTATGTTAAATGTTGGTGTACATGTATGTCAGATTGTTGGTGTACATGTATGTCAGTTTTTTGATGAACATGTATGTCAGATTATTGGTGTACATGTATGTCAGAATGTTGGTGTACATGTGGTCAGATTGTTGGTGAACATGTATGTCAGATTATTGGTGAACATGTATGTTATTTATGTCAGATTGCTTGATGAACATGTATGTTAGATTGTTGGTTAACATGTATTTTAGATTGTTGGTGTACATGTATGTCAGATTGTTGGTGTATGTGTATGTCAGATTATTGGTGTACATGTATGTCGGATTGTTGGTGAACATGTATGTCAGATTATTGGTGAACATGTATGTTATTATGTCAGATTGCTGATGAACATGTATGTTAGATTGTTGGTGAACATGTATGTTAGATTGTTGGTGTTACATGTATGTCAGATTGTTGGTGTATGTATGTCAGATTGTTGGTGTAACATGTATGTCAGATTGTTGGTGAACATGTATGTCAGATTGTTGGTGAACATGTATGTCAGATTGTTGGTGAACATGTATGTATGATTGTTGGTGTACATGTATGTCAGATTGTTGGTGAACATGTATGTCAGATTGTTGGTTAACATGTATGTCAGATTATTGGTGTTATCAGATTGTTGGTGAACATGTATGTCAGATTATTGGTGTACATGTATGTCAGATTGTTGGTGAACATTTATGTCAGATTGTTGGTTCACATGTATATCAGTTTGTTGGTTAACATGTATGTCAGATTATTGGTGTACATGTATGTCAGATTGTTGGTGAACATTTATGTCAGATTGTTGGTGAACATGTATGTCAGATTATTGGTGTTATCAGATTGTTGGTGAACATGTATGTCAGATTGTTGGTGTACATGTATATCAGATTGTTGGTGAACATGTATGTCAGATTATTGGTGTACATGTATGTCAGATTATTGTTGTACATGTATTTTTGATTGTTTGTGTAAGTACATAAAATTAATATTAGATTGTTAGTGTGCATGAATGCTGGATTGTTAAGGTACATTAATGTCAGATTGATTCAGTAAGTTATGTCAGATTATTGGTGACATTATGGTAATCAAATGTACGATCACCCATCATCATAACTTCTACTCAAATGAAAATAAGTTAAAAAAAATATAGCAAAAATAAAATATAAAGTTTTGGTTTCAAATTTCAGCATGGATTAAGTAATGGAGATGCCCAAAATATGACAGGTACAGTTGTAGGTAAGTACACATTTATTTTGTAAATTAGCCAGTGAATACATAATTTGTTGAAATATATATGACATTATTTTATATTTTGGCAGAATTGAAAAATCAAGATCACTTATCAGTAGTACAAAATATGTCAAATAAATGGGTGGAATTTTTAAGTCTAAATTTTACACTTAATGTTAATATATCTACAGGATACTTTCAGGCAATCTTATATGACTTCTTTTCCAGGAGTTTGGTGTGATTCTTGTTTAATATTGGCAGAAAAATATACACTAATTATACAGATATATTAAAAATAGTACTGTAATACACATGTAGGAATACCTAAGAAAAAACAAATTAAGAAAAATATTGTTTATCATCATCCTTTCTCAAGGACCTAGAGACAATACACTTTCTTTTTAATAGTTCTTGTGATAAACTTACATGCTACTACATGTATAAATTTATAGAAACACATCTACAAAAAGCCAGATTTTTTATGTCAAAATGTTTAAATTAGTTTCAGATGAAAAGAAGAGGGCAAACAGACTTTCTGTTGACAATGGACTTAAGGAAAACAGAGATGTGAGTGTATTATAGTTTTAAAGAACATTATTTAATTCATCAACATAACAATTATAATGAATGCAAGAAAATGATTGCTTTATGTAGCAAGTGCTGCTTCATATTTTGATGCTATATTTGTAAAAAAAAAATCTTGAAATGTCAATAAAAAGAGATTTCTTTTATGTTAAAATACATTAAAATTATTGCCTCATGGTCATAAATAGATGTTCAAATTTAATCATCTAATAGTTTTGTTGGTTAAGCATCTGTTAGTTTTGTTGGGGGTTAAGCATCAATTACAAACAGTATTTAATATATGTGTACATACTTATGGATTCATACCGGATGTGTAACCCTGAACTCTTCACCTGAACATACTTTATTTTCTGCATGCAACTACCAACTTCTCTTGTTTTATCACTTGAAACAATAGCACTTGCCACATTGAACCAAATAATCATAGATATTGTTTAGGACACTAAAATCCATGTAACTGATTATCTTCTTACTGTGTTTTCCACGAGTGATATTATTATAAATATAAGATGCCTTTGTGAGCTTTCATGTTTGTAGATGATATATAATTAACAATTTCATAGGATTGTTTCATCACTTCAGAATTATAAGATATTTATAAAGATAATGTATCTGATATTTTCAGCCACAAGTGTTAGTAAGTCAAAAGACGTTGACACCACGGCCTCACTCAAGCAGTAAAAGTCCAATAGAAGGTTGGGGAGGTGATGACAACGCTGAGAAAGATACTGTTGTTGGTAACGGTGTGGATGATAGTGCACTACATAACAATGTACAAAATGGTGAAGAGGAGGAGGAATTCAAAGGACAAAATGTTTTTGTGACAGATGCAATAGAAAATGGAGACAATGCTAATCAGGGTAAAGCAGGTGGTAATGATATTGGTAAAACAGATGATGATAATAACGTTAAGAAAAAAGACAGTGCTGAAGTGGAAAATCGGAATGTTGATGGTGAAAAAAGTGATCATGAAAAAGAAGTGACTGAAAAAATTGAAAATTTAGAAATAGTAACTGATAATAAAGCAGCAAATGCTGATGGAATGAAAGATGATGACAAAGTTGTGGAAGATGTAACGAGTGTTCAGAAAACAGAGGTTACCTCAGAACTAAGTGATAATGACAAAACTGAAGTGAAAACAGAAGATTATCTTGGAAAATGAAAAAATTTACTGTTGTACCAAGGACTGTATTGGAACTTGATGAGTGGAAAAAGACAGGAATAGAATTGGGTTAATGATAAGATGAAAAATGGGATTTATTTCTAGTTTTAGAAAGTGAAGTAGATATAATTAACCTCAAGACAAATCAGTTGTTGTATATGTCAGCTACTGGTGACTGTAGAGTAAAGACAATTCTAGCTACATGTGATAAATATACTGTGATCTTTTTTATTATGAGTATTATTCAAGAAAAAAAGCAAAATTTTGTAATAGCAGGTGTGAAATGATGAGTAATGCATTTCTATTTCTGCATTCTTTGTAGATGTAATTTTTGTTCTAAATTCCACCTAAAATGCCTGCATGTTATTTTAACCATTGTTTTACTACCCACAGCTTGATTTTTTAAATAAATGAAACTTGTAGGATAATTCCTTTAGGCACTGTCATCAATTTAGTAAAAGTTCAAAAATGGTAATTTTGTATTTGAATAACATGGTATAGTTATGAAATCTTTTTTGTAGATCTTGATAACCACTTATAAATGGCATTCAGTAGATGAAAATAATCAGTATGGATTATCATTTGACATTGTGTATTCAGGCTTTACAATATGTTTTAAAAATTTCATTCATACTGATCTCGCAGATTTATAATTACAAACTTAAACAAAGCATTTTAATGTCGGATTCAGACAAATTGTGCCAAGCTTAAATCATTTACATATATGTTGTGCCAATTGTTTCACATTTATGTTGTGCCAATTGTAAATGCACATTATGTGCCAAGTCTGTAAATTATATTTTTTATAGAATTGCAGCTAGTAGGCCAAATTGTGAAAATGTCTTTTTTACCATTAGATATATTTACATTACAATTTTATTTAATTGTTTCAAAGTTCACAAGACTGCCTATAAAAAGAAGCCACAGATATGAATTACACCAAAAACTCATTTTTCCCTAAAACTATCTTAAAGTACATGCATTAAGTCAATTTCATGTATGTCTTTATTAGACTAATTTTCATTGGTCAATTTTAAATTTGATATAAGAGATAAACAATAAGATGGTTGGTTTCTAATTCTTAACAATATCACTATTATCAGAACATTAGTTGTTTTTGTTAACTGTTTACTTCTGAAATTCCTTATAGATAAATATATTTCATGTTATTTATATTGTATATGTATGTATATATTTTTTTATACATATGTTATTTTGTTATATGTAACATTTTGCATCTTAAACTTTATTGTTGGGTTAATGATTGCAGCATTTATATGAAGTTTACATATACATTATAAGTATTCATTTATTATATAAATGTAGTATTCAATATACATATTTGTATGTTTGAATCTGTTTAGTAAATTTAGTGACTGCTCATTTTATTGTGCCACATTTTCATTATTTTGGTACTTACCCAGCATTATAAATCTATCATTTCATAGATCTGATCATGGTCAGCATTGTTTGCTATTCAGGCAGTATTTATTTTGAAAATTTCCCTTAAAATGATGAATGGTTTAGTCCAGATTGACAGATGGACGAATCCATTTAAGATATTTAGGTAGGAAAGAGTTAATGTATGAAGAAGGATACAGAATATTACTATTAACATTATTCTTAAAGATCTCAAATAAAATCCTGTCATGACCTGGTCGAAAAGAAAGTTAAATATTATACAGATCTTATAACATACAGAATAATTTTGGATTAAACAACAGTTGATAAATGCTGCAAACAATGAAAACAAGTTATTACTAATAAAGATGACAACTGAAATTTTACATTTGCTTTCAAAGTACATGTAATAATATTTTTACCAAATAGATTATAACCAAACAGGTATACATTTTATACATGTTTATATCATCAATAATTCAGCATTGCATTACTCTGATCATGTGACATGACCACCACAATCTTGTAAAATAGTCATGTTCGCCATTTATCATCATTTCTTCATTTTCCACTAAGATATGTAATCCACTTTCTATGTCTGGCCTACCTATCTTGTTTTAAATGTATTATGTTCAACAGACAATGTAGGTGAATAAAAGCATTTCTTTTTTTTTTTCAAGTTACAAATATATTTCATTAATATTTCACATAATATTTATTTAATAGAGATATTCAGTTAAGATTTACATGTATATCATTTGTAGATGGCAAGTAAGAAAATAAATCAAGCTATAGGTAAAAATATTTGATCATTGACTTATTATAGTACACTGTGATATTCAGTACTTTCAGCACCGTGTTTGAGTGATTATTGTACAGATAGAAATTTTTATATCAGTTTATCTAAATGTTAGAATTGTCTGTGATATTGTTTTAATTGCTCATAACAAAGCTATATTTATAGATTGTATAATTATATACCATACATTTCTTTCAGATTTGTCTGAAAGGGATTATTTTTAGATATAAAATTGGTCTTAATTAAATAAAATCTTTATATCATACAAATAACTTTACTTTTGTTAGTGTGTGTAACATTGACTGTCTGTAACTGTATACACTAGGAACCTTGAAATGCTGAAACATGGGAACTGTGTTTAATAAACGTGGCTATCTGAATAGTAAATAAAAGATTTGTCTGCAACATCAAAATGTGATGAATTTAGTACCTGGCAACCAGTCTATGTGAGACTGTTGTCTGGCAACTTGTCAGTGTAAGAATTTTCCTTGGCAACCAGTATACTGTTGCTTGGCAACCAGAATCTATGTGAGAGTTTCTAGCAACCTGTCAATGTAAGAAGGTTGCTTGGCAATTAGTCAAATTGAGGCTGTTGACACTATTGTAATCATTAAAAAATTATTCAAAAGTAAAGAGTAAAATAAAATCATATATATAATATAGATTGACTGGCTTAATTCAGGAAGCTTTTAGATGAGGTAAAGTTTTAAAAATGAATTTAGAAATGCTAGTATAAAATTATATGTAACCATGACAACCTTATGTTCCCAGTATTATTGTGCAATCTTACTGTTTGTACATTTACTCGTATTACTGTAGTTATATGTTACATTTCTCTAGTTCAATTTATTATCAACCATCCTATCATACATTTAATGAATATATATATATATATCTCTGATTCATTTGTTCGTTTTTCTTACTGCCCCATTTTCAATTAAACAAGTGCCATGTTATCCTCGCTGGAAAGAAGTTACATGGTACAAAAAGCCCTACAGTTATAGCCATGCTAGGTAGTTTTCAAGTAAGAGGAAATAGTTATAACTAGTAACATATTTGTGATTTATTTATGTCATTTTATTTATGTCAGTGTATTAAGATTGAAGAAAATTCCTTAAGTAGTTATGCTTCGGATAAAGTTTCACATAAAGGGGAATAACTTAAAAAAGTAGGCAAAGTAGTTACTGTTATTGCACACTGCACTTCCTGTTCATGTGCCCTGTTAGTGTGTGAAGTTTGAAGAAATTTACTAATGTACTTATGGAATTAGCTCCAAACAAGATTGGGATGCATGCAAACACTTGCAGAGACCATTTCTTATATAAAATCAAAAGAATCATTTTAGCCAGGGGTAGGGGAGATGAATTGGCCCATTTGTAGTGTCTGAAATGTACAAATGCATCATATATTAAGTTAAAATTTCTTAAAACAAAGGTTTGACGTTAATGACTTGAACAACAGGTCCAGATTGATTTTAGTTATAAACCATGGCATTATTACTGGTACATTGAATGGCCCTTTGTAAAAGCTATTTTTCATGACATTATTTTTGCACAATATTTTAGACAATCATTAAAACCAACATTCAAAACTGTCAATTATTTCAGGATTATTCACGATGCCTCCGACAAATGCATGGTGCTATCATACCAAAATCACCATTATTTAATTTTTCACTTCACTTAATCCTTTCGCTGCCAGAGGGTTATTGTTTTATTGATCACCTTTTTGCCAGAGGGTTTTCTAAGAAATTACTATGTTATTAATTATTATAATTATTATTAATTGTTTTTAGTATTATAATAATTATATATGTTTCCAAATCTGCTAGTATAATAATAATTTTTGTTGACGGTATAATTTTCTTTATATTTATTATTATCAATTTATTATTATTATTATCAAAACGGCAAAAGCCGTCCATGTGGCAAATACGCCGAAAATAACAGGGACGGCATAAGCTGTCCCTATGGCAGTGCAAGGGTTAAACACAATACCAAAAAACAAAAAAACTTTGTCTCTTCAATAAATTTTATTATAAAATTTGAAAAGCACTAAGTGTGGGCATCACAATATCAATAATGCATCTTTAATGTCAAATAAATAATTGTATATTTATATACACATAAAGATACAGCGTACAAAATGAGAAATGATTTCTAGTAATATATGCTACACAACTTTAAATGTTTCTATCTCTTCTTCATAAACATAGTTACTGGAGGTTTGTCACAAATATCAGAGTAACTGTCACTTAAACACAGCATTCATTCTACATGTATAAGGTCATTTTTCTTCAGTAACATTTCATCAGATAGCTGGTCTATTCTTAAACCTAGATTGACCTATAGGAATGAAATTTACTTATTATCTTTCCAAGTTTTTGTCCCAAAATATGACTGGTATTGAAATACATAGCAAATTAATTCTTTAATAACTCAACATAAACAAGCAAAGCAAAATAAAAACAATCCATGTGTGACCTTTTTGGCTAATAAATACAATTTTAGAAGGAAATTAAAAATTACATGCTGCAACTTATAAACATTTTTGGCTTCAACATTCAACTGCAGTATCGTCAACTATCTATCAGCTACCCATCTATCAGATCAAAAACATTACATCACTGGGAAAGACAATCTATTTATAGATAATATATAAGGTATTTCAGTCTTAATAATATTGTGTATAGATATTTAATCATTGTTCATTTAAACAGACACAATCATTTCTTCAAAAATTCAAAACTTCAATCAATAAAACATGTAAAAACTTTGAAACATGAAACACTATAACGTATTAATTAAGAAAAATGTTGCATTCAGCATAATGGCCTAGATCTGAATCACATTAGGTAACATATTTTAAGGTAGGTTTGTTCCTCTTTCTATGACTTTTAACACTATATGATAATGATATAAATAATATTGAATTGAATTAGTGAAATATAATTGCCCAGAATTTTCAGTTTATGCACATTACCCTTAAGTTTTGTTGTTGTTGTTGTTTTCTTCACTCTAAAAATGATTATAAGTACTTAATATAATAGCCTTCAGATATTGAACATATTGTACCTTAAAATATTTCATTTAAAAAATTTTCCTTGGATTATTATTTGAAATGAGATACAGTCATGGAATTTAAGATCCCGAATTCCAGTTTTGAATTTATTCTACGATGCATTTAACTAAATTTTCTTAAAATTTACTCTGGCCCGAACGGATTTTCACGGGCTACCTGGCCAGTGCTAAATTTGATGACTGTAAATATATCCAATGACATCAAAACTCTTTTTTTCGCACATCATTTTAGCTGTCATATACAGATGTAGCACATTATTATAGCACTTAAATAGTTCATAGATTGTCGATACAATAGTTCAGTCTGAGTCACTGTCTAATGCAGCTCTTCTTCTGTCAAACTGAAACATATACAATATCAACATTTAGCCTGATAGCAGCGACTAATTCAACCTTTGCCACCAGTGTAGACCAAGATCAGCCGACACATCCATGCCATCTTATCATGGTCTGCACTGTTAGCTACTCAGTCAGTACATACCTTGAACTTTACCCTAAAAATGATGAAATGGTTTCATCCAGATTGAAATAGCGGACAAGGTATGTAATGAGGTAATGCTTAATAATATTATACAAAATGTAGTTAAATTATTTAAACTTTTATTTTGCTATGCAATTATTTATTTTTCTTACAGGGAATGACAGCTTGCATGATCTGTGACATGATTATACTGTAAATGTGCTTCTTTCATACCATACATAATTACCAAAACTTAATAAAACATTCATGAAGAAGACAATAATATTGGCATTTCGAACCAAGCCGATAATGATAAATTCTGAACAGTTTTTATGGCAGTCTACATAACCATTGTAGACATGTTATATAACAAGAAAAGCTGAAATCAAGAGTATTATTGCTCTATGCCTTTCTTTTTCCAATAAAACTCAAACTGGAAAGCTTTCATTGTATCAGCTAGTCCGTTCAATGATTCAATACACAGGAAAGTTAAACATAACACATTATGTGTTCCATTCTTACCTTTACTGTTGTGGTTTTCTGTGTTCGCTCATTCACTCTCTCCAGTAAACCTTTTAACTGAGTCTCATTTAACTACAACAACAACAAGACAAGGTAAATGATAAAAATATACTATAACTTTAATAGCAATAGCAATTTTTGGATTCTAACTAAACATATCTCATAGTTCAATTATAAAAGATAAACAAGAGGGCCATGATGGCCCTGAGTCGCTCACCAGAAACAACTACTTTTCAGTGTTGGAATGTCAATATATTCTAATATAAAATTTGAGAATAGAATATGTTTAAACAATAATTTGAAGAAATGCCATGACCTGGGACATTTAAGCTTAAACGGGGCTAATCAAATTAATATGAGCAAACTTGATAAAAGACTACCTAAGAATGCTACAAAGTTTGGTGATCATCTATCAATTATTTCAGTAGGAAATGATGTTCGAAGGTGGCTATAGTGGCCTTTAAAAGGGGCTAATCAAATTGATATCAGCAAACTTGATAAAAGAGTACCCAAGAATGCTACAGACAAAGTTTGGTGATCATCCATCAATTGGTTCTGAAGTAGAAGATGTTTAAAGGTTTTTCTATTTTTAGCTTTAGCGGCCCCTAAAAGGGGCCAATGAAATTAATATGAGCAAACTTGATAAAACACTACCCAAGAATGCTACAGACAAAGTTTGGTGATCATCCATCAATTAGTTCTGTAGAAATAGACGTATTAAGGTTTTTCTATTCTTAGCTTAAGTGGCCCCTAAAAAGGGGCCAATCAAATTCATATGAGCAAACTTGATAAATTACTACCCAAGAATGCTACAGACAAAGTTTGGTGATCATCCATCCATTGGTTCTGTAGAAGAAGATGTTCAAAGGTTTTTCTATTTTTAGCCCTAGAGACCCCTAAAAGGAGCTAATCAAATTAATATGAGCAAACTTGATAAAAGACTACCCAAGAATGCTACAGACAAAGTTTGGTGATCATCCATCAATTAGTTCTGTAAAAGAAGATGTTTAAAGGTTTTTCTATTTTTAGCTTTGCTGACCCCTAAAAGGGGCCAATTGGAATGACATGAGCAAATTCAAGTGTGACTGTCACAAGGATGCTACAGACCAAATTTGAAGTAAATCTGCTTAGTAGTTTCAGAGAAGAAGACGATTGTTGACGCATGACGACAGACGCCAGAGCATCCCCCTTTGATACTAATAGCTCACCCTGAGCCTTTGGCTCTGGTGAGCTAAAAACAGAACATTTATACATGTAAATTGTTCAAAAGTTTAAAATACAATTATTAATTAAATACTTTCTAATCAATAAAGTTAATATGTCTGTACGCTGTACCATTTATTTTACACAGATATATTACCCAAGAAAATTAGGAGCTCCCACAATTACATATGTTACATACCTTTCCTTGTATTTGTCCAGATTGAGCCATCTGCATTAACATTGATTCCACCATTTTAGCTTTCTCTGGCTTAGCTACAGCTATTGTATTTACTATAAACACAACATATATGTTAATATTTGGTTTATAGGTAAACAACACAACAAGAGCACCGCTAAGCGGAGCATTATATGCCCGAAAATGATTTTTTTTTTAGTAAAGATGAAGCATTTGTAAGACATTGGAATTAAATAAAGTATTACCTCCTTCAAATAACAATCCTCCTTTGAAGTTTAAACACTGTGGGGCAAATGGGACTTAAGTTATGCTCTGGAACCTGTTTTCAGTTTTAAGGTAATAGTGACCTTGACCTTGTGACCCCAAAATCAATAGGGGTCTTCTACTCAATATGGACAATCATCCTATAAAGTTTGAACACTGTGACCCAAATGGGACTTAAGTTATGCTCTGGAAACTGTTTTCAGTTTTTAGGTTATAGTGACCTTGACCTTTGACCCTGTGACCCCAAAATAAATAGGGGTTTTCTACCCAAAATGGACAATCATCCTATGAAGTTTGAACACTGTGGGGCAAATGGGACTTAAGTTATGCTCCGGAAACCGATTTCAGTTTTAGGGTCATAGTGACCTTGACCTTTGACCCCAAAATCAATAGGGGTCTTCTACCCACTATGGACAATCATCATATGAAGTCTGAACACTGTGGGGCAAATGATTTTTTTTATACAAACAAGTTATCTAAAATATAAAAAACCATATATGCATTAAGGGGTCTATTTAAATCTTGAAATTATCTAAATGAACTTAAGCAGAAAGATCTATTCTTGCCTAGTTTATGCTCCGGAAACTGTTTTCAGTTTTAAGGTCATAGTGACCTTGACCTTTGACCTTGTGACCCCAAAATCAAAAGGGGTCTTCTACCCAATATGGACAATCATCCTATGAAGTTTGAATATTGTGGGCCAAATGGAACTTAAGTTATGCCCTGGAAACCAAATTGCTAACTGACGGACGGACAGGGGGTATAAGATAATATGCCCTATTTCGACTAAAGGATCCTGCAGATGAAGAACCAGAGAGGTTCGGAACCGGTAGATTTTTATTAAAATTTTGTTCACATTTATACGGTGTTGATGTGTGGTTTCTTTGTATTCTTCCTTTCCATCCAGTTTATTTTAAAGTTAAGCAACAGTCTTAATCTTAATTTACATCAAATAATGTACAATGAGTGCAAACTTGTCATCTATTATACATTTACATGTCCTTACATTAAGTTAGAGCTGACTGAACTACACGTTAACATTTATTATACTTTAAAATTGTTTGTCATTTGTTATACTTACATCTAGTTCTAGCAGACTGATCCAGGACTTGACATAAAATACTGTGTTTCATTTCCTCCATCTGTCTTTCCTTCTCTTTTTGTTGATCATTGCCCCCACCACCTGGGCCCTTTATTAAAGTAATAAATGATTAAAATCAATAAGTTTGTACCTCACATAACATACAAAATGAATATCATCATTAAATAAAACCTTAAAACTTATCCTGTGTTGATTGTTTGTTCCACTTTTATTAATTTTCTTAGTAAAATGAATATATATTAGATTCTAAGTTTTTAAGACTGTTGAGATCTTTTTAGAGGGTTTGGGTATCTAGGGTTGATTTAATTGTGAGGTATACTATTGTGTCATCTGCAAATAGTCTAACTGTACTCTTTATTTTTTTCTAGTTGGGTTTTACGTCACACCAACACAGTATAGGTCATATGGAAACTTTCCAGCTTTACTGGTGGAGGTAGAGACCTCAGGTGCCCCTCTGTACATTATTTCAGGCACAAACAGGCACCGTAATAGAGCTGTCAACATTCTGTAAAATAGCTAAATAGCTTTCTTACATGTAACATCTGATGAAGCGGCGAGAGGCAAATGGTTGTGAAGTCAAAGACCATAACCGCTCGACCACATAGTTTGTCTCGTAGCCATAGCAGTGATCACCACATAAAGCGAACTTTGGGTGTTTTTCTCTGGCTAGTGATATGGTTTAAGGAGGAGTTTGTGATGGCAGACTTGATCAAATGCTTAACTGAAGTTCATGACAAAATCAGCCTGTTGGCCTTGCTCTTAGTTTTCACGAATTTCCCAAAAGTAACTGATGAGCAAGGTTTCACAACTATGTATTGAACTAAAACCATGCTATTCAATTGGGCAAAGGATATTATGCTCGACATAGAAAGACATGATATTGAAGACCATTATAAGCTCCTGTCACAAAACTGAACTGTTCACTAATCTGGGGAGATAATGCGTGAGTGACTGTAAGCAACTGGAAAGTCTGTAGAACCATGGTAAGGTGTTCAGAGGGTCCTGGGTTTGGGTCAAAGTCAGGTTGCATATTTTTAACACCCTGTGACCTTAGGCATCCAACTTAACCCTTTACCTCATGAGCATATTGTGAAAAATGGCCGTTTTCTTTGGAAAGTTTCCTGTTACATGTTCAAACTGCTATGAAACTATGAAAAATGCTTCAATACTGATGAAACTTGGCACAAATGTTGACTGGACCATATCCTCTGTAACAGCATAATCTCCTGTTACCATGGCATCGGGGCACATCTCAAAATTGCCAAAAATCACCATTCTGCTTTGGTTTTTTTCCATCAAAACTGATTTCAAAGTGCTGCAACTTCTCAATGCAATGAGATAGAATAAAAAGGCTTTTCAGCGTTGGTTACACATCACCTTAAGATCAACCTAAGGCCATTTTTAGCCTGTCAAATGTCCAAAATTTTATTGGTGAATCCCCAAGCACAACCCCCTTCTGGCAACCCCCTGATGTACCTTTTTGATAGGGGGCGGCGCCAAAAAAGTGATTACTTTTTTAACATTTCCCAAATGAAAAATAGTGTTTGGGGCCTATTTAGGGTAAATTTTCGCTGTTTGAGGCCTCAAAAGGGGGGGGGGGGGGTCGAAAACACATCTATATGAGGTAAAGGGTTGATTAATTAGGGCTGTGATGGAATAAAGCATGACTGTCGAATTTCAAATTGTTATCTGCACCCATTAAAGAATCAAAGACTTATTTCAATCTAGGGCTTCCTCTCATTGGGGCCGGTACTAAATTTAAGGAAGATTTGGATGATCTGGTGAGAAAAGGGGCTATTTCATTTTCAATGTAAACTTTTGTTCCTCTTATTCATAAATGACCTTCCAAAGGGACTTCTCTCAAAGACTCGATTATTTGCAGACGACTGCATCCTTTAGCGCAAGATCAAGTCCATCCATGACCAGCAGCTACTTCAAGCAGACCTGGATTCTCTAGTCAGGTGGGAACACTTGTGGGGCATGGACTTTCAACCTCAGAAATGCAGCGTCCTATGAGTAACCAGGGCAAAATCTCCTCTCTGGACCAACTATATCCTGAAAGGTATAACTCTGGTTGAAGAACAGACATCAAAATACTTGGGTTTGGACTAACAACCAGACCTTGGCTGGAAACAACACATTGACAAGATCACCAAACAAGAGGGCCATGATGGCCCTGAGGTCGCTCACCTGTATATAGGCCCCCCAACCCCCAACAAGTTTTTACTATATGCATATAGGGAAAATCAATGACCCCCTGGGGCGGGGCCAATTTTGACCCCAGGGCTTTTATTTGAACAAACTTGGTAGACACCTATTAGAACATGTTTGATGCTAAATATCTTAGCCATAGCTCTTTGAGTTCTTTAAAAGAAGATTTTTTAAGTTTTTACTATATGCATATAGGGAAAATCAATGACCCCCTGGGGCGGGGCCAATTTTGACCCCAGGGCTTTTATTTGAACAAACTTGGTAGACACCTATTAGAACATGTTTGATGCTCAATATCTAAGCCATAGCTCTTTGAGTTCTTTAAAAGAAGATTTTTTAATTTTTTTAATACTATATGCATATAGGGAAAATCAATGACCCCCCGGGGCGGAACCAATTTTGACCCCAGGGCTTTTATTTGAACAAACTTGGTAGACACCCATTAGAACATGTTTCATGCTAAATATCTTAGCTCTAGCTCTTTGGGTTCTTTAAAAGAAGATTTTTTAAGTTTTTACTATATGCATATTGGGAAAATCAATGACCCCCCCGGGGCGGGGCCAATTTTGACCCCAGGGCTTTTATTTGAACAAACTTGGTAGACACTTATTAGAACATGTTTGATGCTCAATATCTAAGCCATAGCTCTTTTGGTTCTTTAAAAGAAGATTTTTTAAGTTTTTACTATATGCATATAGGGAAAATCAATGACCCCCTGGGGCGGGGCCAATTTTGACCCCAGGGCTTTTATTTGAACAAACTTGGTAGACATCCATTAGAACATGTTTCATGCTAAATATCTTAGCTCTAGCTCTTTGGGTTCTTTAAAAGAAGATTTTTTAAGTTTTTACTATCTGCATATCAATGACCCCCCGGGGCGGGCCAATTTTGACCCCAGGGCTTTTATTTGAACAAACTTGGTAGACACTCACTAGAAGATGTTTCATGCCAAATATCTAAGCTCTTGCTCTTATGGTTTTTTAAAAGAAGATATTTAAAGTTTTTTCTTTCGGTTGCCATGGCAACCAGAGTTCTGCATGGAATTAAATTCTTTGAACAATTTTTAAAGGTGACCACCAAAGGAACATTCCTGTGAAGTTTGGATGAAATTGGCTTAGTGGTTTATGAGGAGATGTCATTTAAAGTAAAAGTTTACGGACGGACGACGGACGGACGGAGGACGGACGACAGACGGACGCCGGACAAAAAGCGATCACAAAAGCTCACCCTGTCACTTTGTGACAGGTGAGCTAAAAAGCTAACAACATGCTAGGCTTCCTAAAACGTAATCTGAGAAACACAAGCTGTGAAACTAAAGACAAACACCTACATATCTCTTGTTCGATCTAACTTAGAATACTGCTTCACTATTTGGAACTCCTATCACAAAAACCTTATACATAAAGTAGAAATGGTACAGCGAAGAGCAGCATGCTTCACTACAAACAGGTACCATAACACCAGCAGCGTTTCAGATATGCTACAACATCTAAACTGGGAAACGTTGGAAACACGCTGTCAAAAGCTCCAACTCATTATGTTCTACAATCAACTTGTGGAGATAGATCCAGGCGAATTCTTAACACCATCTAAACCCAGACCAAGGTCGTCACACAGTACCCGATTCCTGCAATATTCAACGTCCACTGCAGTGTCTATTCTAGGACGCGCGATTGCGCGATTCACGCTAGTATTTCACAGATCGCACACAATTCAAAATCATGTGCGTGAAAATCGCGCATCTATAAAAAAAGTTAATAAAACCGTAAAACTTCCATCCCGCATTATATTTGGTTGTTTTGTTTACATTTACACCGAAAACCGAAGGGAGGTAACTGTAAGCTAATTATAATAATTTAGTACCGTATGGTACTGGTTACGTGAGTTGACGGAAATTAACGGAATGTTCCGTATCAACCGGAACTAGTGTGCTAGGTCTGACAGTTGGGCGCCATTTTAGTGTAGTAAATAATCAAGAAAAATGAGGCAATTCCTAGCTTGGCTACGATCTAGACGTGAAAGATAGTTCGATTATTTGTATTGCCAATCCCTTTATAATCAATCGCGGCAGTTCTGTAATAATTTTTTTTCGTTTGAAAATTAAGGGGGGACAACTTCTGCTGCCTTAAATAAATATTATCGTTTTAATTATTTCATCGGTTGAACCCCTCAGTGTAAACTTAATGCAGACGATTTAACATTGGCAGTTTATATTGGCACCCTTTGATTTTGAAAATCGCCCCCTTTTTTGAAATAGAGGGGGGGAAAATCACCCCTATTTTTCAATTCCTAGAATAGACACTGCCACTGATATTATGAAGTTCATCTTCTTTCCTCGTTGTATTCCTCTGTGGAACAACCTGCCAGCACCTGTTGCTGAGGCTCATTCTTTGGCATCCTTCAAGAATGAGCTGTCTAAACTAACCTTCTAAGGGGACTTACATGCACAGTTATGAAGTACCACCAAATGAAGGGCTTGAGCTATGCCAGCAGGGTCTAGGATCTGCAGGGCACTGCCACGGAAGCTTGATTGGTCTTTCCTAGATGGTTGAAAAGTAACTGTGTACAACTATTTTCTGCTACTTTTAGCAAAAAGTGTTTCTGTTTCCTTTTTCTTTCTATCCTATTTTTTTTTTATTTCTCTTTATACTTTTTTCATGCACACCGTTAAAGAAATGTCAAGTTTGACAGTTTAACTTTAAAGTACAGATGTGGATGTAGACTTCGTTCAGTAATCTAACGGGGATTTGGCTTTGCTTTCATCCTCAATTATTTTGACATTAGGATAGTTTTGTAGAGTAAGCAGTTGTTAGCATGACTGGGGAATCTACTTTAGCAGATCCCGGAGTTAAACTTCTTTACTAAATTCTGTTAGCATGGTGTAAACTAGATAAACTCCCTGTCTGCATCAGTATGACTACCCATCCGAGTAATGTGCTACTAGCATTTCCAACATTTCGCCTTAATTAGAAACAAATTTAGGAGAAGAGTTGTTAGAACGAACAGTTCAGATATTATTTGAAAAGAAGAAAGAGTCAGAACAATTCATACTCCCATCTGTGCCTGCATTTCGGCCATTCTCCTGGCCCGAATAGCTTCTAATTCTGCATCGTCCGCCATGTTGCTAAGAATGTAGACTGCGCTATCTTTTTACTATCAGAATGTAAGGTCTTAAACTAAAATTATGGATGCCGTCTAATTTTAATCTTGGTTATGTGGATGCTTGGTCATGCTCTTTAAACTTATTTTCAAAAGCGTCTGTTTACCAGTGAGTAATCATGGCAGAAAGGAGTGGTGAAACTTGTTCAAGTATTTGGAAGTCTTTGCTGGAAAATCTGACGAGTGTCATTGATCAGATACAGGGTATGCCTGTTCATTTAATTGTGTTTCATTTAGATTTTGAAGAAAAAATATTGTATTTGTTGTTAGAAAGAAATAGTTCACAGATTGCACAATCACTTTGAACAGTGTTGAAAGAAAAGCCAAAATGTTCAACTGTTTTGTACTGTCACAGGGTGGGAAAAATTTGCCGCCTGACAGGGACAATAGGGGACCCTCAGAAATTCGTTCTGGGCTCTACCGACTGAGCTATCCAGCCACTAACACATTTTCTCCAAACAAGTGAACAGTTCTGGACTGTGACATTTAGATTCAAAGTTGTATTCAACATATGTTCCGATTTGTATATTTAGAGCTTAAAAACAAGACAGATACAAAGATGATTCATGAAGTCGAAAACCTAGTTGAACGTCGTTTTCCGGAACTTTCTGTACACAGCGTTGGGGGATTCACCTTAAGGGCGTGTAGTAAAGATCTGTATGTTTTTAAGATTTTTTTGATATTTTGGGATTTAAGTGTAATAACACAATTACTTCTTTGTAAGAAAGTATTTAAATATCACTATGAATAATTCAAAACAAAAAATAAAGTAAATAGATCTAGTACATAAGTTTCTGCAGAAAATATCTTTCTATTATGGCAGATGCAACAACTGTTTTAATTTTACAGATTTTTATAAAAAAAAAAAATTGGGAAAATTTGCGATAGATAGTACAGGAACATTAATAATTTTCAAACACATCAAGTTTTTCCACCATAAACAGTAAAATAATGATAGAAAAATGGAAATATCACATGATAGTGTTATGGGTGTAATTCCCCAGAGCTAAATCCGTAACGTACTGGAAACCTAGTCAATTAGTTGAACTAACTGGTGTACTGGTACGAAATCCCGGTAATCCTTGCATGTATCAGTGCTATACACAGGGCATGTAAAAGAACCAAGGGTCTATTCAATAAGAGCTATGGACTGGTTTCCGGATTTCCTTGTATCTCAAAGCTGTCTCTGAATTCAATGTATCCAATGTATACCTTCTTAGTGTAATCGTAAATGATTTAAAAGCATTATGATATAGATGTTCTCATCAACTTGGCATTTTATACCTTTACAAAGTTTATGGGGGTCTACTTGAGTCAGCTGTTGATTGTTCGGGCAGTTGCGCTGATGGCTGCAGATTTCTTGTCCTGGACATAACTCAGAATGTACAAGAGATGTCAACTTCAAATTTTGTAGGTAGATAGGTTTAAATGAGCAGAAGTGCAGTGCAAAAGAACAATTTTCTAATTTTGGAGTTATTGCCCTTTGTTCATTTTTACACCTTGAACTTTGTCTTGGAAATAACTTGAGAACTAGTCAAAGTATCAGCTTAAAACTTTGTAGGTAAATAGATCTTATTGAGTAGAAGTGCAGTGAATAAGAATTGTAACCCTCCTGTCCTAAATTATGGAGTTTTTGCCCTTTGTTCATTTTTACACTTTGAACCTTGTACAGGACATAGCTTGAGAACTATAAAAGATATCAACTTGAAACTGGTAGGTAGAAAGATCTTACCAAGTAAAAGTGCAGTACATAAGAACTGTAACCTCCCCTTCCCTTATTTTGAAGTAACTACCCTTTGTTCATTTTTACACTTTGAACTTTGTCCAGGACATACCTTGAGAACTATAAAGGATATCAACTTGAAACTTTGAAGGAAAATAGATCTCACCGAGTAAATGTCCTGTACATAAGAACTGTAACTCTCCCATCCCTAATTTTGGAGTTATTAGCTTTTGTTTAAACTTTGTCCATGATATACCTTGACAACTATAAAGGGTATCAACTTGAAACTTTGAAGGTAGATAGGTTTCACTGAGTAGAAGTGTATTGCATAAGAACGGTAACCCTTCCATCCCTAATTTTGGAGTTGTTGCTCTTTGTTCATATTTACACTTTGAACTTTGTCTGGGACATAACTTTAAAAATACTAAACTTATAAAGGTATCAACTTAAACTTTGTAGGAAGATAGATCTCACTGAGAAGAAGTGCAGAAATGTCAGGGAGAAAGAACGTATTGCCCTTAACTCATAACCAAATATATACGCCTTTCTACGCCTTTTTCACCAAACCCCCCTTTTTTATGCTCCCCGAAAAATTTCGGGGGAGCATATAGTCGGCGCCTTGTCCGTCCGTCTGTCGTCCGTTGTCTTGTCCGGAGCATAACTTAAAAACCCTTGGAGATAATTTGTTTAAACTTCATACAGTGGTGGTAGAGGGCATTGAGGGGGAGTGCAGTGTCAAAGAACCATAACTCTATTTTGCCCGGTGTTTGAATTATCTCCCCTTATAGAAAAATCTTGTCCGGGACATAACTCTAAAACTATAAGAGATATCAACATGATTCATGAAACTTTGTAGGTGAATAGATCTCAATGGGTAGATGTGCAGTGCATAAGAACAATAACTCTTTTTCTCCTAATTTTGGAGTTATTGCCCATTGTTAATTTTAACACTTTGAACTTTGTCCGGAATATAACTCTAAAACTATAAGAGATATCAAGATGAAACATTGTAGGTAGATAGATCTCATTGAGTAGAAGTGAAATGCAAAAGAACCATAACTCTGTAAAGCCTCATTTTTGAATTATCTCCCCTTTTAGAAAAATCTTGTCCAGGACATAGCTGTAAAACTATAAGAGATATCAACATGAAACTTTGTAGGTAGATATATCTCAATGGGTAGATGTGCAGTGCACAAGAATCATAACTCTGCCTTGCCTAATTCTGGAGTTATTGCCCTTTGTTTATTTTTACTTTTTGAAGTTGTCCGGGACATAACTCGGAAACCATAAGAGATATCAACAAGAAACTTTGTAGGTTGATAGATCACATTGATTAGAAGTGCAGTGCAAAAAACAGTAACTCTACCTTGCCTTATTTTGGAATTATTGCACTTTGAACTTTTTCCAGGGACGTAACTCTGAAACTACAAGAGGTGTACTTTCCTGTGTCCAAAACCTATTCGGGGAGCATCACCTGGCTCAAACCGGGCTCTTGTGTTGGCTCAAATGGTGAAAAAAAAATCCTTATTTAGGCCCCCAACATTTGTTTTTGTTTGAGAAATGTTGTTAAAAAAGTGACCACTTTTTCGACGCCTTCCCTATCCAAAAGATACATCAGGGAGTTGCCAGAAGGGGGGTGTGCCCCCTTCTGTTTGGGGGTTTGAAGGGGGCGCCAAGAAAATTTTGGACTTGTGAGAGGCTAAAAATGACCCCAGGTCGATCATAAGGTAACCTGTAACCAATGCTGAAAAGCCTTTGACTCTATCTCAATCCATTGAGAAGTTGCAGCACTTTAAAATCATTTTTGATGGAAAAAATCAACGCAAAATAGTGAGTTTTGGCAATTTGTTTGCCTTGGTAACAGGAAATTTAAGACTGAGCATGTTGTTACAAAGGCAATGGTCCAGCCAACATTTGTGCCAAGTTTGATTAGTATTGAAGCAGTATTTATAGTTTTATAGCAACTTGAACTTGTAAAGGCAGACTTTTCAATGAAAACAGCCATTTTTTCCAAAATGCTCATGCGTTAAAGGGTTAAAAGGAATCCTGAAAACTCCAAATCCAAACTTTAATTTATCTTATTGATGTAGGACAAATAATTAAAAAAAAAACATTTGAAAAAAATCTATAATCAACTGCATTCTGTCTATGTTCAAAGTTATTAACTAAAAAGCATGTTTTCTGACCAGCGCATCTAGAAGGTATTCAGCATTTCTGACAAATTCTAGTTTGTTTTGTATTTTGTATTGCAATAAAAAAAATTTTGGGTAGCTGCGATTTTTATGGGTAGATAACAATATTTTATTTTAGGCCCAGTGTACATTAAACTAGTTTGTCTACTTAAATAAAACTTGTTGTTTTACCAACGAAATCATCATTTGGATGTCAGTTTTAGAGTAAATAATTAAAAAAAGAACAATTAGTTAATATAGTGCCAAGTTAGATTATAAATTTGATTATTGCATATTACAAGTGTTTTAAAAGAAAAGTTTAAATGAGTTTTATAGAGTAAATTTACTCATATTGTTATTTCAGATGGTGAAGGAAAGTCAACTGTGCCAGATGATTTTAACTACAAAGCCTACTGGAAAAAACTGGGTATTTTATTATATTTGATAATTGAAATGATGCATATCAATTATATTTCTTTCTTTTTCTGAAGATAAATATATTAAATTTTTGTGTTGGCGTCAAGTAAGAACTTCTGATTTTGAAAAAAAAAATGTAAAAATGATAATGTAATTAACTTGAACAATTATACTTTAATTAAAAAACATTTTATGCAAACAATTATTTACATATTTTATTTATTTATTTATAAGTTTATTAGAGTCTCATCAATGTTCACAATTAAAATACATAAATACATATAAAATACAATATGAAGCACATTGTAAATCTATAAGATTTATGAGAGACTTAAAATAGACTTAAAAATACTATTTACATATGAGCCGCGTCATGACAAAACCAACATAATGGGTTTGCGACCAGCATGGATCCAGACCAGCCTGCGCATCCGTGCAGTCTGATCAGGATCCATGCTGTTCGCTATCAGTTTCTCTACTTGTAATAGGGTTGGTAAGCGAACAGCATGGATCCTGATCAGACTGCGCAGATGCGCAGGCTGGCCTGGATCCATGCTAGTCACAAACCCATTATGTTGGTTTTGTCATGACGCGGCTCATATAAATATCTAAAATACCCTTGTTAATTTGAATCTGGGTTGTGAGCATGTGATAAAATGAATCTACTGAAGTAGATTAAAATACTGGGAGGTAACAAAGTACTATAAATATTCCATATAGAAATTAATATTACAGTCATATTTAATCAAATCGGGTTTAAAAGATTATTAGCAAAGGTATTTTCTAGATAGTACATGTACATCTAAAAGCACACAAAAAGTTAGGGCTGTCATTTATAAAAAAATTTGTATTGATACATCGAAAGACAATTATTGACAATATATTGATATATCAAATTATGTTATAAGTAGAATGAAAAACGCTTGAATATTTGTTATAGACTATGCTCATGGTGTTATGTATGTTTCTTTTGATGTCACAAATACAATTAACATTAAGAAAGTTAGTTTTCTGTTATATTTTTCTCACTGACTAAAAATTGAACTTAAGAGTCCAAGCTAGCCATAAAATATGAAAGGAAGAGACTCTCTATTAACACAAAATGGAAAAAATATTTTCACAAGAAAAAAAGAGATTTGAGTGTATTGATATTCAAAATTATGTATCAATATTGTATCGAATGGTAAATATCGATGATAAATCAATATTGCGATATTCAATGACAGCCATACAAAAGTATAATTATTAATGCAGGTGATGTTTTCAAAGCGGTTTCACATGAAGCTACAAAGTTATCGCTGGCGTACTCCAAACCTCCTGTACCATCTAATGAAGAGTGTGAAAGTTTACTAGCTTCAGTCGAGAAAACAATTCTTGCTCTTCTTCATGTTTACAGTAACTTACCAAAATGTGCAGGTAATTTAAAAAACAGCTACATATGATCATAACAATAAACCTCTCTTTACAACATTAGACCGGCAAATATGCAGTATTTTTAAAATGTCTTGAAGCTTGTATTATTAAAGTTTGTACGTATATCAAAGATAAGTATGTAAATGTGAATTTGTTAATTTCAAGTGTCTGCATTTTAGGTTTATTTTGTATTATGCTTATTGCATAATATATTTATTTTGGATGTAATTCGAGAAAAGTGTTCCTAACAATTTTAAAAATTGTAATTTTTTGCTCTTAAATAGCATTGAAAAACATGCATAGAAATAACATTTTTACATGTATTTATTTTAATTTTATGTATTGACAATGACATGTTATCACGCCCGTTTAACTCACAATGAGTGAAAAATGTCCATCGGTAAAAATGTTGTGAGCAACTTCCGTTCCTCGTTGTGAGCACCCATCTATGACGAGTGACACGATAAACAAGGTGAGTTTTTCATAATTTTTGAAGATTACAGACATTTATGTAAAATTATCGAAATGCAGTTAGCTAGCGATGTGTTTTCCGAGTATTCACATGTAAAGATATTACCTGTTGGTGGACAATTTGATGGAAATACCGTGCGACGCAGTCACTCGGGGTAGCTGGAAAACTGGAGACAACTTCTCTTTGGACCTAATTTAACATTGAAAACGTCGATTCTTGTGACGTTTTGTGCATTCTAACCTAAAACAAATGCCCACAAGTCTTCAGCGTAAATTATTATCTGAAAGTCTTCGTAGAAACGAAGATATACTCTTTTTTGCTTTAATCCTCGTTGTGAGCACCATAACCTCGTTGTGAGTAAGACAAGCGCAGTGCTTGTCTGGTTTAGATATGTAATTCAAATGGCAAGAATACAATTTTCAATCTACCAAAAGCAATCAAAACGTTTTTGTTCAATAGTTTTTCTTTGCAATAGTTCTTCTTTTTCTTTTTTTTTGGAAAATTATTCTTCATATTCACAAGTCATAACTAATCAGTGGAGGTAAATCAGGTATTTTATTTCATATACTCTAGTGTGGCACGAGTGAACATCACGGGGTGTTTATGAATAATTCAACAATTTCACAATCTGTGTGATACACACATACATGTGTTTATCCTGAGCTGAAGACTGACCAAGTTATGTAAAACAAGAACTATCACGGTAAGTTGACAATGCCCATGAAGTGGTGCTTTGTCCTTTTATTTATGGACCAGATAGATTATTTGTTTTTGGACAATTAGAGCTTCAATGTGAAGGTAATTCAAGGTCAATGTGAAATAAATATAGGTCAGTAGGAAGGTCTTGTCCAAAGGGGCATTGTGTCCAAATATGAGTTAATTCCACTTACTAATGAAGAAGTTATGTCCAATGTTAAAGTTTTTGGATGTTCTAGAAGGTCATTTACGGTACAAGGTAAAAAAATACGGATCAGTTTGAAGGTCTTGCCTAAAGGGGTGTTGTTTCAAAATATGAGTAGAATCCGTATACTAATAAGGAAGTTATGACCAATTTTTAAAAGTTTTTGGACAATTTGACCTTCAAGGTGAAGGTCATTCAGGGGTCAAGGTCAAAAGAATATAGGATAGTTTAAAGGCCTTGTCCAAAGATGTGTTGTGCCTAAACATTGTGCCAGGACATTATGGCCAATCTTAAATGTTTTTGGACAATTTGACCTTCAAGGTAAAGGCCATTCAGGGGTCAAGGTAAAAAAAAATATAGGTCCGTAGGAAGGTGCTCAGGGATGTTGTGTTCAAATATGAATCAAATCCGTTCACTAATAAGGAAGTTATGGCCAATGTTAAAGTTTTCGGACAGATTGACGGACTGACAGACGGACAGTTCAAAACTAATATGCCTCCCTTTGGGGTATGCACAATGTCTTGCAAACAAATGCTGCTGTGCAAAAACGTTTTAATTGCTGTGGTAGACTGAAAATAATATTTTCACCATCTGAATTGCATATTAAAACCATACACGCACTGCGCTTGTCTTGCTCACAACGAGGTTATGGTGCTCACAACGAGGATTAAAGCAAAAAAGGGTATATCTTCGTTTCTATGAAGACTTTCAGATAATAATTTACGCTGAAGACTTGTGGGCATCTGTTTTAGGTTAGAATGCACAAAACGTCACAAGAATCGACGTTTTCAATGTTAAATTAGGTCCAAAGAGAAGTTGTCTCCAGTTTTCCAGCTACCCCGAGTGACTGCGTCGCACGATATTTCCATCAAATTGTCCACCAACAGGTAATATATTTACATGTGCATACTCGGAAAACACATCGCTAGCTAACTGCATTTCGATATTTTTACATAAATGTCTGTAATCTTCAAAAATTATGAAAAACTCACCTTGTTTATCGTGTCACACGTCAAAGATGGGTGCTCACAACGAGGAACGGAAGTTGCTCACAACATTTTTACCGATGGACATTTTTCACTCATTGTGAGTTAAACGGGCGTGTGTTATGTTCATGTACTTTAAACAAAATGCTTTTCTTCCATTCATAAAAGGTCTAACATTACGAAAGACTATCAAATTGTCAGTAAGACAGTTAGTGGAAGGTATAAAAACACTGGCAGAAACTATTCAGAAGTACAGTGCTGGGTAAGTATAGATTTACTAGGTACTTGCTTTACCCAATCATAACACACACGTGTCACTGTGACAGTGTTAGGTACTTGCTTAACCAATCATAGCACAGTGTAACTGTGACAGTTTTCGTTTAGATATTTGTGTGAACTTCTAACTCAGAGTTTTATATCACCTGTTAAAGCTAGAGGATATTTTATTGAAATAGCTTCATGCATAATCATGTTATAATTCTGATATGAACATAACTATGGTTTAAATTATTAAAGTGTTACTAATATGATATGATGCGGCTGTAGTAAATACATGTATTTTCTTTCAAGGATCCATAACCTTAAATCATTAAATGTTAATTCACTTATTCATACCATAAAAGTAATAAATATGTTCTACCTACTACCTGCCTAAGCAATATATATGTTTGACAAACAGTTCTAGTGCTTCAGATTGTCCATTTATTTATTAAATTATTATATTAAATTTTGATATAATTATTACAGATCTAACGAGCAGTTACATCAGACAGGAATTGTTTGGGAAGAAAGTGATAGATTTTCTAAATTACCACAGGGTAATGTTATACACCAAAAAGTTATTTACATGAATACTCAATAGATGTGATAAAAAATGTTAACTTATTTACATGAATAGATGTGATAAAGATGTTAACTTATTTACATGAATAGTTGCAGTGAAAACATGTTAACTTATATACATGAATATTGCGATAAAAAATGTTGACTTATTTACATGAATAGATGCAATGGTGATAAAAAATGTTAACTTATTTACATTTTATTTACATGAAAAGATGCTGTTAACTTATTTACATTTTATTTACATGAAAAGATGCGATGTTATATACATGTTACAAGCAGCTAGACCATATATATATGAGCCGCGTCACAACAAAACCAACGTAATGCGTTTGCGACCAGCATGGATCCAGATCAGCCTGCGCATCCGTGCAGTCTGATCAGGATCCATGCTGTTTGCTTACAAACCCTATAAAAAGTAGAGAAACTGATAGCGAACAGCATGGATCCTGATCAGACTGCACGGATGCGCAGGCTGGTCTGGATCCATGCTGGTCGCAAAACCATTATGCTGGTTTTGTTGTGACGCGGCTCATATATATATACATATATATATTTTTTTTTTTTTAAATGTTTAACAAACATAAACTATTGTATTTAAATTTTAATGCAGTGATGTAGAGTAAGATGCAGTTTTAACTTGGTAGCAGATGCCTATATTGTAAATGACTGGCAGTGATTGTATGATATATGTTGTATGTTTACAGATAACCGATCAGCCGTTCTTTATTGTGATAGAGAATAATATACCAATGGTGGATGATGCTCATAGTGAACTTACTGAGGTAACTGAATATTATATTGGTTTAATAGTTTTATCCATATCAGTTATTGATGTACAGATATGTTCCAAAATGCACACAAGTGTTAAAATTTGATGAATTGTGCATGTAGTTTATATTTTGTATTCATCTTTAAGTTATATCTGATTATGTAAAAAAATGAAAAAAATTGTAATTTTGCGTACTTCTACAGTGTTAGTAAAATAAGGAGATGAAGAGAGAGATTTGCGGAAGACCCTCAAACTTATGAAAACTTACAACACAAAATACAACTTTAAAAACAAAAACAAAACAAAAAACATATTGCAGTCTGTGTATTAAATAAATGAAGAGACATTATTTGATGACTACAATATTAAAAATATTATTTCTTGTTGTTTTTTTCAGGCATTAAACAATGATGAAGATGATGATGGATTAGATCAGTTTTCTAGGAATCTCTGATTCAAGATCACAAAATGATCAACAGTGGTCAGAAATGGAACAAAAATGTTATACAATATTGTTTAGGACTCATTAAATGTTCCAAATCTTTGTTAAAAAAGACAAAATCAGCTGTGAAAACTAACGGAAACTGTGAGAGTGAGGAATGTATATCACAGTTAGACGATGTGGCAGATCGGGTGGAGAGATTAAGTCCAGTAGTGGACGATCTAGCTTCCTGTGTTTACCCGCCCCTCAATAGTTCTGTTGTACATGAAAAGGTAAAGGAGATTTTTTAATTTAGCTGATAAGACTGTTAGTAAAGTCCACCATTTTAAAAAGACAATTACAGAAATTTTAGTGTCTGTCTGGTATATTTGATTTTATGGTATGTTACATATACAGGACTGTTGTTAATTTTAAAATAAAATTTTTATCCCAAAAATCATTTTTTGGAATTTTCCACCTTTTTAAAAAAACAATTTCCCCCGGGGTTTGGTCCAGTTTCCCCCGGGGGATGAACGAAATATATAAATGGGGGGGCTTTAGCCCAGTGTTTATAATGATGCGCATCCCGAACGAAAAAACAGTGATGTTTTTCAAGCGATGAAATCGCCGATTTTGGGAATTATATTACATTTTGTATTACGAACCTAACACGAAATCAACCAAATAAATGTGCTTGCCGTTACCTGAATATTAAAGCAAAATTTGGCGCCCAAATTTGTTTCCATACTTTATTTAAAAAGCACGCTGGATTCTTTTTAGTGGTTACATCACATTAATATGATTACGTCACATCTCAAATATTAGAACGTCAACTGTAACTCTATTGCATAATAACCACACACTTTCAGTTTTTCTATTATTCAATAGGTGAAAAAATGGACGGGTTGTGTTAGAAATAAATTAGAATAAAAATGTAACAAAGGTGTTGCAAAGTGAATGCCTGAACATATGGGCTAAAATTTATCAATGTGTTTTTATTACGTAAATATCATTCCTAATTTGTTATTCAATGCTGTTGTAAACCAAATACCTGATATGGGATAATAGTGCCTGCTCATTGGGTCACTACTTTTTTGTCAGTTTGCTGATCTTTTGAAATATAAAATTTAAGACCCACTGACACATTAAAATACTTTGTAAAGAAGGAACTGACTTTATGTATAATTAGTGTTAATTTTCTTCGTTTTTGTCTTTCAGGCGTTAGAACTTGGAAGAGTAAATAGAGAACTTCTCGACTTTTTAAGGTAATTCTTGTTTATATATTTATTTTTTATGGAATAATGACAGACTACCAAGTAGGTAAAGGATTTAGAAATTATCATAGGAAAACAGTCCTTAACATTTTATATATTTATCTCAGTTGTAAGTCATGATAGATATGTATTTGAACATGAAGGATTTGCATTTTGGGTAGTACATTTACATGTTACAAATTATTAAAGTCATGAAGACAGTTTCTCATGGATTTCAATAACCATTAGGACATGATACTTGAGCAGTTTTTGTCTTACAATACTGCGGGGAAAAAATGTAAGTATAAGTGTAACATTTTAACAGAAGTTCTTAGTTTCTTTGTGTCAGTGTTCTTTATGAAAACTTTTGTTTCTCTTTATCTATGGATTTCTACTTGTATATTTCAGACATAGTCATGTGACAGGAGAAGATGATAAAAAGTGGCTGGACTTCCTGGTGAAAGCTAACTCACATAACCTTATAAAACTTACAAGTTTAATGCCCCTTCTTTAAAATCTATTCATTACTTTTTAAGTTTTTGGAATAAAACAGGAAGTAAACAACTTGTTTTTGTTATGTTTCCAGTACAGGAAATTATTTCATGTATAGTGTTTTAGCTTGACTATATTGGAGAAAACTCGGGTATTTCCACTCACTCTGTTGTCAGCCAAATGTTGTGGAGTTTACCTATGAAACTTCACACATAACATGAGCATACTTTAAGGTCACTATCAAAAATTCAAAATTTTAGTACGAATTTATGAATTATATGTATAAACTTTTATGAACAAAAAAAAATTCTAAAATTCCTCATTAAATTTTGCATGCAATTTCTCTCCACAACCGTAATGGATATTCACTTTTGCCTTGACATATTTTCTAGGTACTATCCTAAACATTTAACACATTTGTTATCAACTAAATAATTCCCCTTTACCATTTAAAAAAAAAATCCTCCATTATATAACCCAAGCTCAAGTTTTGACTTTCATAGAGTTCAGTTGGACATGTTGATCAGCTGGTATCTTCTTCACACTGATCTTTTAACAAAGATCCTTAATTACAATACATCAGGAAGAAACTTAACAAATACTTGCCAATTAAAATTTTATCCATTGTCTTCAATTAAGGGTATTCAGCTTCATAATTTTCTTTAGATCTATGTTTCAATAATGTCTAATTTAAAATATTAAAGAAAAATCATATTTTTTTCATCTTTTATTTTTTCTACATTAATGTTTACATTTACATACAATGTATATACTTCTTCGTATACCTAAGAAAATACCTGACATATAGTGGCTGCACACATACATTGTAGCAAGCTCATAATACAGGCATTCTATACTAATCATATTTCTACAAATTTTATTATTAAATATCACTGGTTCATAATTCCAAGGAATTGACCACAGAAATAAATTAAGTTGATTCCAATATACAATTTTTAAATAAATATAAATTTATATTAAGCATGGCTTACTTGCTAGGTAAGCTTGCAGATCAAAACTGAACTAAACAATGATATTTAAGCTAAAGAAATAAACATGGTCACAAAATTGGGTACAGAATGAAAATATTTTTCATTTTACTTACAGAACCTTAAGACAAAACATTTATTGATATGTTTACATATTGTGTGTAACTACAAACTTGAAATCAACATTAGACAATATTATTTGCATTTTTATTCAAATAAGAGAAAGAGGTATTTGTATTTTTCTGTTCATTAATACTGGTAACAGGTTTATCTGAGACTGGCAATATTTCCAGTCAAGTCATCTGATAATCTGAGACAAGGAAAATTTCATCACAGATCAAATTATCTGAGACGAGGAATATTTCCAGTCAAGTCATCTGAAAAATCTGAAAGCAGGAATTTTTCGTCACAGATCAAAATCATCTAAAACGAGGAATATTGCCAGTCAAGTCATCTGAGACGGTACAGATCAAGTTATCTGATAATCTGAGACGAGGAATATTTCAGAGTTAAAACAGACTAAGATTAAACATTTCAATAAAAATTTTTCACTATAATAAAAACACTATCACAGTCAGCATATAAAACATTGTGTAAAATTTGTATAAATAATTTTTATGATATGTACAATAAAATCATTTTTGGGACAGACACTAAAAAATACATATTTTAAGGGAGACACTTTAAAATATATTCTAAGAGTTTTGAGATTACTTTTTAAACATTTGCTACTGAAGTGAAAGGCACAGTCCTTATCAAGTGATGGCTTCAACAAAACCAGAGATATGATAACATTGACAATCAACTTTGGACAGGTTAACTTTCTTATTTTACTATTTATCAAAACAAATATAGAATGGAACATGCATTAGTGTACAGTACTATATTCTTTGTTCCTGTTTAAATTAAGCAGTTCTGACCAATTCTTACTAGAAATTAAGTCATTTTTTTTTTTTCTTTAAAAATAGTAAGAAAGCAAAAGTTTGTAAAAAAAATTTTAAAAGCACATGATTTCTATGCGAACACTGATAAAATATCATCATATTGTACATAGAGGATATTGAATGAGTGTAAGTTCAATACTAAATTTATTGCACGAGTTGAATAAAATTATATTATGCGAGCCTCTCTGGCGAGCATAATATTATTTTATTCAACGAGTGCAATAAATTCAGTAATGAACTTACACGAATTTAATATTCTATTTATCACATACCAAAAATAAAGACCGTTTAAAGTGAAATATGAGTCTTTTTTTCATTTGTCGCACCCTATAGTACAACGCTAACATTTAGCGCTTCTTTACACCTATGGTTTGGTATAACGCTTATGACGTCGCGTCAAAATATCTGCACGGCCGTGCAATACCATATTTACGGAGTCGCAAAATCGGCACGGGAGATGTGTGATAAAATGTGTTATTGGGATTGATATGAGTTTTAATAAATTTATGTGCCTTACTTTCCATTTCTTTCTCAACAGCATCAAGTGCATTAAGACATTGTACTGTTAGATTCATACTGCCAATAACCGTCTTCTCATCTGCAACATCCAAAACTGAAAAAAAAACATGTGACCATGTTATTAGTAACTTAAAATCATTAAAAAAATGTTTTTCATTAAAGGCACATTATGCCTCAGAAATAAATAATTTTATATATTTTTTTAGAAAGATTAAATAAGTGTTTAATAATACAACTAAAGAAAGTAGCACTGAACATGCAGTAATATGCAGTTAAGATAGAAAAATGTAAACAAAGTAGTATTTTGACCTCCATACACAATACTTTATTTCTATAATTGTACACCAACTGCAAAGAGCAAAAGAGTTATTGTATTGTGATGTGGCTAGTTATACAAACTAATAAATATGGACTTAATTGAAATCTAACATCAACTGTAAACATTCAGGGAAGAAGTGCCTATTGGTCAATGTGTTTAAATCTCAACCCATGCATTGAAGATTCAAGTACTTTAGTAATCATGACAATATTTTATTTTACAATACCAATTCTGGCTAGTCCAGAAAGATAACATTAACTTTTAAGTTTTCATCATATCGAGGCCAAACATAAATGTGTTTTACTCAACCGTGTGTTGGAAAATTACATTTTATTCTCACCGTTCATTTAGCAGCAGGTGACAATCTTATAAAAAAAATAGCTGACAAGAAATAAAGAAATAAAACTTACTGTTTTTTCAATATCTTCCCCAAAAAAACAAAAAAAACATTTCTTTTCTTATTACATAGAATATCTCGAACATTTACGAGAGCAAAACCAACATCCTCGCAGTCACGGTCTTGTTCATCTTCAGGTGGCTCACTCACTAATGTAAACCGGATTCTGTAATATTTCATTAATAATTTTTACCATAAGTTAATCAATATTTCATGTATATATTTAAGTTAATTGACACAATTTTCTCAATAAACAGTAAAACACATATTCTTTATATAGATATGATATACATTTTTTGTTTGATTTTTAATCACACAACACTTAACGGTCAAAAATACAGACTTTGTGTACAGATATTAAAAGGTAATTCCTTTAACTTCTTTTTCACAGTTGGAACGAATTTTGATTTAAATTATAACCATTTCATAATAATATTATGCACATAAAATTAGTATATGATGAAAAATTTAGTAATAATGTAGTGAATTTAAGCACACATTAAATACATGTACTAGAACTTTATGAACAAAAATTCGTGTAACCTAAACATATAAGCTGATGATTTTTTTTTACATTTTCTTGGTTTAAAGGGTTATCTTTGGTTATATACATGTATATATGACAGGTAATTAATTCTTTATTTAAACATGAATAAATCAATTGTCAGACTAGAAATGAGATGAAGTAAATAAAAAAAACTCGTGCAGAATTATTAATTTGTATTAAATTGATTATTGTATCATTGATGCAACAAAAAAAAATTTTTTATCACCAAGCATGCTTCAGGTTATGACCTTCACATGACCATTAGAAATGATTTTTTTGTTCTAATCTAATTGTTGTTTTTTAAAGAGAAACTTACAAGTTGTGCTCATTGACACTGACAATATGTAAAAATTTTCTACACTTTCATTTTGCACAAAGTCCAAAAATAACATTTTGCAAAAAATTCAACAGTTTCATTCTGCAAAAAAAAAAAAAAATCAAATAGTTCCATCTTGCAAATGGGTAAACAGTATATTATTGCCAAAAGTCAAATAGTTCAATTTTGCAAAAAGTTCAAAAGTTTCGTTCTGCATAAAGTCAAATACTGCCATATTTTTAAAATTCCAATAGTTCCATTTTGCAAAAAGTCTACCAGTTTATTATTGCAAAAAGTGTGCAAAGACTTATTTTATAAGCATATTTTAAATACAATATTACATGAACCCTTAGTCAAATTAAATGAACAAAAAAAAAAAGAGTATAATTTATTTATACAAACGTTATATAATATCATACCTTCCATCATCAGGATCTGAGGGTAACAACATACTGGCTAGGTACTGTCTTCTCTGATAATTCTTCTCAAAATCTACATGGAATGCTGTAAATATCGAGATTTGTATATATTATTATAATTATACAAAACAACATGAAACTATTATTATTCTATATCTTTACTGATATATTACAGACAATCTATAAATCATAATAAAAAACAAATCCAATGAGTTATCAATTACCATTATCAATAAGGTTCCATCACATAGTTCATAAGTAGTTATTACATGTATTTACTATTATATAAAAAAAAAATGACTTACTTTTACTGAAGTTAAACTGTATATTATGATATGGTTTAGGTTTTGGCAGTGAGAATGGTGTATCAGTCTCTTGTGGGTCCATACCGAGGAATCTATACTCTACAAATAATTGATGTATACTCGGGTTGTTCATGGCTTCAGCGCCCTCCTTTAGTGACACATGGTTGATGGCTACAGTCACAGAGTTACCCTGTATATATATACACCTTTACATTATAAAAAAAAGCCCCAAGAAATTTTTACAGTCTTCTAAATTTTTCCCAAAATGTTAAAAAATATTTAAAGATCAAAATTTTTTCCAGTTTTTAGAATGAGGATACCTCGGGCATGAGCTTGCACCTCAGAAGAATCACTAACCCTCTGTAAGCTAGCTGGATAGCTTCCTCGCATGAAAAAATCGAAAATCCATGGCCTGAAGTTGAACTCAAAGCAGCAAGGACCAAGTATTTTAAAGTCAATGACCTTAACCACTAGGCTATTGACATACCTAGTGATTTTATAGAAGTAACATAATATCTCCATGGAAATTAGTTAAAGCTTAACTGTATAAAAGAATTCACAGAAATCTTTATGATCAAAACTTATGTAACTTATACATATAATTATCTTCAAACAATATTTCTAGTTGCTAAAACAACAAGTAGGGGTGTCATCGATAAGCGGTGCATAGAAAAACCGGAAAGCATCGGATAGCACCGAAATACCGGAAAGCACTCAAATTTCTCAAAAACACATATGAAAACGCTAATTAATCGGTTTGAAAGTGTTACCAATCGATTTATTAGATCAAAATCTTTCAGACAAGTCATTTTTATAAATATATATTGATAATTATTACGAGTATTTAGGAAAATAGATATATCGAGTGCTTTCCGGTCCTGTGAAGATACATGTACATTACCGGATAGCAATATTGTTTATCAAAGTTATACATGAAAACTTTATTTTATTGGTTTGAAAGTGTTACCAATCAATTTATTATATCAAAATCTTTCAGACAACACGTTTTTGTAATTATATTATGATTATTTTTACGATTATTTAGGAAAATAAGATATATCGAGTGCTTTCCGGTCCTGCTAAGATACATGTACTTTACCGAATAGCAATATTGTTTATCAAAGTAATACATGAAAACTTTATTTTATTGATTTGAAAGTGTTACCAATCGATTTATTATATCAAAATCTTCCAGACAACATGTTTTTATAATTATAATATGATTATTATAACGATTATTTAGGAATGAATACACGATATATCTATTTTCCTAAATACTCGTAATAATTATCAATATATAAATATAAAAATGACTTTTCTGAAAGATTTTAATCTAATAAATCGATTGGTAACACTTTCAAACCGATTAATTAACGTTTTCATATGTTTTTATGAGAAATTTGAGTGCTTTCCGGTTTTTCGGTGCTATCCGGTGCTTTCCGGTTTTTCTATGCACCCATCGATAAGGATTTTTGTATCGATATTTCGGTAATGAATTATCGGCGATATATCGATCGATTGCCATTTCAAGTCTTTAAACAAGTTATATTTAAACACATGCACAAAAATAAATAATTTCTTTTTTATCATTATAACATTTTTTATGACAACTAATGACTTGTAACAATAATGTTTAAAACCTTTTCCATTTTACTTTTGTTGTTGTTGTTGCTATTACGTACATGTAGTTACGGATTATGCTAAATCCCGTCCTTGCCGTTCCATAAGTAAGTCGGTGTTTAATTGGCAGAACCGGAATAATTATCAAAGTTTAACATAATGTAATCATAAGTTTTACAAAGAAACACTTACAAAAATTTTCTTGGCATTTTTCGTTTTAAAAATCTGAATTGGGGGGTCTTGACAGACCCCCACTTAGCAGACATGCGAGATGATTAAAATGTTTGTTTCAATAAATCATATTTACACTGATTCTTGATTAAGCGATTTCACCTGTTTTCTCCGTAGTAAGTTTTCGTTTGGTTAATTAACATAAGTGTACATCTGGTTCTGTGCATTTTTTCTTTTCCTTTTTTCCGGTCATTTTATCCTTTCCGGTATTAAGGGGGGGGGGGGGAATGCCGGGATCCGGGATAGTATTAGATATACATATAGGGAAAAGGAATAAACTATATTTGTGTTGATTATTGTCGTTGAATCTTTGTACAGGAGATGATCATTATACCAAGCCCTCTTACAATATAATTCCCTTTTATGCTCACTATGAGCAAGTTGTGCTCTGGTGAGCATAAACAGGAATTGGGATCCCTATTCATCTGTTGTCCCTAATGTGTAATTTAGTTTCTCTTTAAATGATATCTATGAAACCAAAGACTGCACATTAACCACACTACAGGAGTCCTCTTTCATAGTTGTTCATATTGTTCTACACATAGGTCAAGGACACGTCTTATATAGAAACACACACGCACACCTTTATACCTTATTAATGCCTAAACCTTAAATATTTGGCATGTGGTATTGCCTTGTTGACCACTTTAAAATTTTGTTCATGTATCTACATTATATCCATTTGTTTAAAATGTTTCACATACCAAGATGAAGTGGACATAATTTTTATTAAAATGTTTAGGGAAAATATGTTTAAGTCTGATTGATATAAACTTCAATGCCTCCAGCTTTAATATTGAATATGTACTAATGCCTTGAGAACTTGTACAAATCAAATGTTAATCATGCCCCATGAATCTAAATTCGCCCACACCCAAGAGAGTTCTTCAGTAATATATTCCTGTATAGGACTTGTGTCTGTCACTCATTCCATTACTAAATAACATATTACAACTTAACTTCGTATAAAGAGACATCTTTATGAATTCTACCTATCTAACATTTTTTTGGTCAAGATCAACAGGCCATATAGTAAATGTGCATAGACATAGGTACTTCATTTTATCTGTTTACATGCATCTTCATATATACTCATATTCCTCTTTGTTAAACTTAGAGAACTGGCTTTCATAACTTTATATGTCACTTTTATTTTGATGTTCGCTGAAGTCTCTTCAGCTAACAGAACTGTCATTTTTACATTTACACACACCCCTAGAAAAAAATTACGAAGCGGGTCGCTACTAGCTTTTTTAAAAGCTAACCTTGTTGAAATAATTATGTTAGTTCTGGCTTCCATAACTTTATATGTCGCTTTTATTTTGAAGTTTGGTTATCAGTACTAGAATACCTGCTTGCTGAAGTCTCTTTAGCTAGAAATGTGTGTGCATTCGATATCCGATATTTAAAAAATGGAATCGAAATCGAATCGGATAACAAAGATCGTTGATACACCGATATCGATTGAATCGATTACACCCCTATAAAATATCTTTTAAAAACTACTATAGATACGTGTATCTGTTAATTTATTGTTTACCTAGCTATTATTATAACTTCACTGGGTTTGGTAACAATTTGCATGAAACTTATTCTGGCAATTCCACAGTTTAATTCAGTCTTGTCTTAAATGAATTCAATGATGTAGCCTCTACTACCTCAGGATTTAACGCATTCCAAGCATCCACAACTCTATGGCTCAAAGTGTTTTTCCTTGTGTTATTTCTTGCCATTGGCTTAAATATTTTATACTTGTGACCTCTGGTTGTGGTTCCTTCTCATATTTTGAATATTTTTCTTATCTATTTTGTCAATGTTGTTAACTATTTTATAAGTTTCAATCATATCTGCTCTATTTCTTCTGTATTTTAAGTTGGAATGCCTAATTGCAACAGTCTCTCGCTATACTAGTATTCTTTTCCAGCTAATTCACTTAGTACTCTAGTGGCTCTTCTTTGCACATTTTCAATGGATACTGCATCTTTTTTTAAATTTAGGTGACCAGATTGCAGGACTGTACTCAAGGTGAGGTCTTACAAGAGATTTGTAGAGCTGAAGAAACATTTCTTTGTTCATAAAAGTGAAGTTTTTTAACGATTAATCCCAAATTGTCTATGCCTTATTTACTTTACTGCTTATATGTTTACTGAATGTCATTTTGCAGTCGAAGATCACGGCCAGGTCTTTTTCTTCATTTACTTGTTGAATTTTACAGATATTATTGCTCGAGTCTTTCATAAAATAATCACATGTTGTGTTTTGTCCAATATGCATGTTTTACATTTTTTTGTGTTGAATATCACTTGTCCATTATTTGCCCCAATATACATGCCTTCTAAGATATGTGATGTGTCTGGAGTTGAGATTCATCATTCTGATGCCCATTTAATACTGCAGAATACTAGATTTAGTGTCACCTCTGCAACGTTGGCCTGTACACGTAATTACATCTCGGAAGGTGTTTATAAGATATAAGGGAATAGAAGAGTCCTAGACACTTACCCTGGGGACAACCACTTGTTACTGTTTGCCCATCCGCTGAAAATTTCCCATTCATCTACCTCTTTTTGTCTGCTTCCAAAAAGGTCTTATCCATGCCATAAAACTTACCCTACTTTACCTAGGCTCCACGACCCTATTTAGTAGCTCGTCTCGTGAGGGGACTTTATCCGGAATGCAGCTTTATAATCGGAGATATCACAATATCAATACTTGTACCCTTTTCATCTCCCCTCATTGTTTAGACAAAGTCTTCAATACATTCTAAAAGTTGTGTGGTACAAGACCTTCCTTTCCTAAAACAATGTTAATATATAGACAGTAGATTATTTTCCTCTAAATGATTTACAATAGCACTTTTGATTATTTTTTCCATAATTCTACATATAATTGATGTTACGCTTATTGGACGGTAGTTTGCTACATTATTTTTGTTCCCTGCTTTGAAGATTGTAGTAACATTTGCTTCTTTCCATTCTCTTGGCAGTTTACTTGTGTCCAATGATTTCCTGTACAATTAATTCAAAACGCCACACAGTTCTTCTCTACATTCGAATACAACTTTTGGATGAATAGAGTCTGGACCTTCAGATTTTGAGGGACTAATTTCTTTGATGGGTTTCATTATGATATTTTCATTAATTTCAGTATCACTTAATAATGTGTTTGTTTTATTTTCTGCTATTGGCATTGGCTCTGTTTCCATTGTAAATACCGATATGAAATGTCTGTTAAATTCCTCAGCAATTTTTAAGTCATCTGAACATTTCTCTCCATCTATATTAATTATGTTTATTCCAGATATAGATTTTGATTTCTCACGGATGTATTTCCAAAATATTTTTGGATTTTGTTTAATATTATCTGCAATATTCTGCTCATACTTGTATTTGGAGAGCTTCAGGTGCATCCCTACCTTATTCCGTGCTATCTTGTAATCATTATTATGTGTGATGGTTCTTATTGTATTTATATTTGATCCATTTACACCTTTTTCTTAATAGTGTGGGAGGTTTCCCTGTCGATATAGCGATTCTTTTGTGTTGGAGGTATTTTTTACTTTTGGTATGTTTTTTTTTCGATGCAATTGGAAAGGGTATCTGCAAATAATCTCCAAGAAACTGAATATCCATATTGTCCATGGTTGACCAGTCCATTTATACTTAATTCATTTTTCATAACACTGAAATTGCCTTTATTATAGTTAAGTTTTGGTTTTATATCAGTTTTGTTTCTTTTACAGCAAACTAACTTGAAAGTTATGAGTATATGATCACTTTTTCCTAAACTGGAATGATATTTTAGTTCACTGATCATTTCTTCTTCATTTGTAAAAATTAAGTCTAGAATAGATGGTTCTTGTCCATGACGGTATCTTGTTGGTTCTTTTACATGTTGGAATAAAAACAAGTCTTTGGTACATTCTAAGAACACTGAGTCTAATGTCATTTCATTTGTTAGACTTAACATATTGTCCCAGTTTATACTTTTCATATTAAAGTCACCAACGGTTAAAAAATGGGGATATTTCAATTTACACATTTCGTTCATCATATCAAACATTTTATGTACATTTAATACCTCTCAATTTGGACTCCTATAAATACACCCGAAAAGGAGCCTGTCTTTTCCTTTAAGGTTTATAAAAACCCAAAGTGCTTCCTCAAAGTCATTTACGTAAGTTGACTATTTTTTTTAGCATATATGATTACACCTCTTTTACCATTTTCGCCAAGAAATGCACCATATCCTGAAATTTTGTAGATCAGTTCATTTGTATGGTCAATACTTGATTTTTTTGGATATGTTTCTGTAATGGCTATAATATCAAAGTTGTTTTCTTCAATTAGGGCTTCCAATTCCTGTTTTTTTTCTTTAGTGAGACAGTCAGCATTTGTGTATAGTACATTTAACTCATCTTTGGCGAATTTGTTAAAATAATTTGACTTAGAACTGTTTAAAACGTGTGTATTCCCATGTTTAAAAGAATTTGTACAATTAAAAACGTTTCCCCTATTTAGGTCGGGGTTAAAAAACTCAATGTTCACGTGGCTGCTTTCCACCTTATATAGTGTATTTCTCTGACTTAAATTATCCATAGGTAGACCTCAAATTACTGTTAGGTCATTTTGATCTTCAATGGTCATATTGATGTTGTTAATGGTATTTTGGCTGAACGGATCTTGTATATTTTGACTGAACCCTGTTATTTCTAGTCTCGGACTGCTACCTGAGGCTGGTGGATATAATAGTGGGTTTTGTATGCTGCTCATTGTTCCTTCCTTTTATATTTTTTCACGTTTAGATTTTCTTTCTTGTCTTTATTAAAGTGTAAGGTCTTTGAAAAGTACAACATTGCTAAATTTCTTACTAGATTTTTTTGATATTTCTTTTGAGTGTTCCGGTAAATGTTTTCTCTGTTTCCTGTCTTTCAAAATTACTTTTAAAACTCTACAATTTTTTTCAGTGTCTTTCTTTTTCCCTAGTCTATAACTTGTTTCTATTTCTATGTTGTCCAGACCAATGTCTTTCGCAATTTCACATAGGTTGTCCTCATCGTATTTCTTGTTTTCTTTACCTGTTTTGTCACCTCCTTTCCGGTAGGTTAAATACCACAATATTTAATTCACGCCTCTTCGGTCGTCCATCTCATTAGTCCTGGCCTGTATCATACGACATATTTTTTCTTCAAAGTCCGTCATAATATTGTTTTTGATATCCTTTATTTCTTCTTTAATTATATTTTTTGTGGATATTTCTATTCTGTTTACCTTTTCTTCTAGGCTGGACATTCTTCTTTCTTGTTGATCACTGATTTTTGATAGTTTTTTGTCAATGTTCTCTAACGTTGGAATTGTTTGTTTACAACTTTTACAATTATACCTATAGTCCTGAAGTTCTCCATTTAACATAAGATCAATTACTGTTGTTGACAGACCCGAACACCTTGCACAGAAATACAGCTTACAGCTTTGGCATTCAACTTTGCTCTTTTCCACAATCTCGTCCTCACATTTGGCACATGACTTTTCTGATATTTCAGGACTAGAGATAAATTTCCTTTTTGTTTCATTTCCATAATTCATCCGCCAGCTATGACTACCTAGGGAAGAAGTCTTTGGAGTACTTTGTATTATTTTACCATTGTAGTTAATTTTTTCAGTCATATTGAAAAATATATGTATAAGGGTACGGCAGTCCGTCACCACTTAATGATTATATTTAATAAGCAGCTAGTGGTTGCTTTTAATTTAGTATTCTTGTCTACACAAGTTCTAAGATAAGAATTAATATGCTTTAAAGTTTGATACATAATAGTTTATAATTTGTATTTGATATCTTTAGGTAATATCAGATTTTATGAGAAAAAATTGTAATTTTTCATACTTCTACAGGGGTAGTGATAAAAGAGATATAGTGAAAGATTTGGAGAAGGCCACAAACTTGAACATGAAAACAGCAGTAACAACTTTTTTTTGAAGATTAACAAAAACATGTATTCTTTGTATTAAATGAATGAAAAGGCATAATTTGATAACTCACAATATTAAAATATTATTTCTGTTTTTTTTCAGGCATTAAACAATGATGAAGATGATGACGGGTTAGATCAGTTTCTAGGTATCTCAGGTTCAAGGTCACAAAATGATCAACAGTGGTCAGAAATGGACAAAAATGTTATACAATATTGTTTAGGACTCATAAAATGTTCCAAATCTTTGTTAAAAAAGACAAAATCAGCTGTGAAAACTAACGGAAATTGCGAGAGTGACGAGTGTATCACAGTTAGACGACGTGGCGGATCGGGTGGAGAGATTAAGTCCGGTAGTGGACGAGTTTACCCGCCACTCAATAGTTCTGTTGTACATGAAAAGGTAAAGGAGATTTTGTAATTTTCTGACTGTAAATTCCACCATTTTAAATAGAAAATTACAGGAATTTTAGTGTATGTCTTGTTTTATGTTACATATTTAGGACTGCTGTAAATCATAAAACAAACTGTAGTTGCAGAAGCCAGTGAATGCGTAAACATGTGGCTCAATTTGTCATGCGCATTTTATTATGTAATATCATTCCTAATTAGAAATTCAGTGCTGTTGCAAAACACCAGTGCCAGTGGTCTGATAAAAAATATTATAGTGCTTGCTGATTCGGTCACTGTACTTTTTTGCCAGATTGCTTTATATTTAAAAAAAATTTAAAATTTATTATCAGTTCATTGAAAACAAAGGTTTCTTTTATCCCCCGCCGAAAAGGCGTCGGGGAAAATAGAAATAGTCTCCGTCCGTCCGTCCGACCTTCCGTCCGACATTTTTGTCCTGAGCATATCTCAAAAAGTATTTGAGGTATCAACTTGAAACTTCATAGGTGGATGGACCTCATTAAGGCGGAGTGCACTGTACAAGAATGATAACTCTACCCTGCATAATTTTTGAGTTATTGCCCTTTGTCATTTTTCAAAATTAATTTTTGTCCAGAGCATAACTCAAAAAGGCCTTTGAAATATCAACATGAAACTTCATAGGTGCATATATCTCACTCAGGAGGTGTGCAGTGCATAAGAATGATAACTCTACCTTTCATAATTTTTGAGTTATTGCCCTTTGTTATTTTTCATTCTTAATTTTTCACCTTTTAATTTTTGAGTTATTGCCCTTTGTTCTTTTTCATACTATTTTGTCCGGAGCTTATGTCAAAAAGTATTTGAGGTGTGAACTTGAAACTTCATAGGTGGATAGATTTTACTGAGGAGGGTTGCAGCACACAAGAATGATAACTTACCCTGCATTATTTTTCAGTTATTGCCCTTTGTTATTTTCAGTCATCAGTATTCACATAGGTTTCAAATCTGTAATCACTTCAGCCATCAGTTTTCATTACCAAAAGACCTCTTAAAATTGAATTATTCTGCTCTACTACATATACATTCTTCCAATGAGCAAACACTTTCGGCGGGGGATGGCCATGTTGACATGGCTCTTGTTTTTTTTATTTAAAAAATTTGAAATTTAAGACCCACTGACACATAAGTAAAGTAGAAGCTGATTTTATATAAGGTATAATTTTTGTGTTTATTTTCTTTGTTTTTGTATTTCAGGCATTAGAACTTGGAAGAGTAAATAGAGAACTTCTTGACTTTTTAAGGTAATTCTTGTTGATATATAAAAATTTGTATGGAATAATGACAGACTACCAAGGAGGTACAGGATTTAGAAATTATTATAGGAAAAACAGTCCTTAACATTTTATTTATATATCTCAGTTGTAAGTCATGATAGACATGTATTTGAACATGAAGGATTGCATTTTGGTAGTACATTTACATGTTACAAATTATAAAGTCATGAAGACCAGTTCTCATGGATTTCAATAACCATTAGGACATGTACTTGCAGTTTTGTCTTACAATACTGCGGGGAAAAATGTAGTATAAGCGTACATTTTAACAGAAGTTCTTAGTTTCTTTGTGTCAGTGTTCTTTATGAAAACTTTTGTTTCTCTTTATCTATGGATTTCTACCTGTATATTTCAGACATAGTCATGTGATAGAGAAGATGATAAAAAGTGGCTGGACTTCCTAGTGAAAGCTAACTCACATAACCTTACAAAACTTACAAGTTCAATGCCCCCTTCTTAAAAAAATGCGCGCGCAACTTTCTCTTACGGATGTCTAAATTCTCCAGGACCGTTTTTTCCCTTATTTCTTTCTTATTTTCCTTCTTGGCTGACCCAGATAGGCACGTAAATACATCAGATAGAGCGTACAAGTGACCTGCCAGAGCGATCTCATAACAAACATCTCCTTCACGTCAAGAACAGCATTTTTCTACATTTTTCAACCACTTCCGGTTTGGCACCTACCTTGAACCAAGCTGTAACTTTTTTTAATCTGAATGTCAATATTGAATAATACTGCTTAGAATTATGATAGATCTACCTCATAAGATTGATATCATCCAGAACCAAAAGAGCATTGATCTACATCAGCTTATCTTTTTGATTTAGAGACTGTTTTTTAGAGAGTATTTCTCTTACCTTGTACCTAGGGTAATGTAAACAAACCTATCTCGTACCCTGCAAAAAGCCAGCAGACGCATGGTCGACAATCAAGGGGAATTAGAGCCAATGTTGTAAGTTTTTATCTACTACCATCGACTGATATATTAAATATATTATTATCCCTACTTGAATAAAAAGGTTGTACTAAAATGATATAAACAAGACTGCATAGACCACATAAGTGACACAACTTGAAATAACTCTTAGTACCTGAAATGAAAATAATTGAAGGCCTACAACTACTTTGGTACACCTGCTTTGTACTTGCTGTTGTATTAGGATATCTTCCACAGAATCCTCATGTATCTGATAGCATTCAAGCTCTGCTCAACATCAAAGCTGACTCCAAGACATGCAGTGACATTACAAATTACCAGTCAACACACCTTCTACTGAGTATCTGCAAACAGAAACCTACCAGTACCAGCAATAAACCCTGCAACAAGAAGACCTTCCTGGTATATATAACTCTTTTACTTCTTGCTAATTCAAATGATGTCCAACTAAACCGCTGGACCCCCACTAAACGACAGTACTGCTCCCTACCCATCGGCACCTGGTGGACCAACCATAACATGGGATCACCGGGCAGTTGATGCGACACTGCGACAATGGTATCCACTAAATTTGCCGAGATGTTCATTCATAAGAACCTATAGTATTTTAAATGAAGATAGTGCTATACGCTTGGATTGCCTATCTGCAACAACCCAAACTACAGTACTGTGTTTTGACCTTCACTGCCATCAACGTCATAATCCATTTTGAATTACTATCGCTTTCAAACACAAGTCTACAAAGCCCTAAGACACAGTTAAAACCTCTTCACTCATTTACTCCAGAAAGAAGTGCAAACCCAAGAAGAACCACCAACAAGAGGCCATGATGGCCTGAATCGCTCACCTGTATATAGGCCCCCGGAGCGGGGCCATGTTTGAAACCCAGGGCCTTTTATTTGAACAAACTTGGTAGACACCCATTAGAAGATATTTCATGCTTAACATCTAAGGTCTAGCTGGTCAAGTTTTTTCTTTACACATATAGTTAAAAACAATGACACACCTGGGGCAGGGCCAGTTTTGACCCAAGGGCTTTTATTTGAACAATCTTTGTAGACACTTACTAGAAAATGTTTCATGCTTAATATCTAAACTCTAGCTATTCGGGTTTTTTTCAAAGAAGACTTTTAAGTTTTTGCTATACACATATAAGGAAATCAATGTCAGCCCGGGCGGGGCAATTTTGACCCCAGGGCTTTTATTTGAACAAACTTGGTAGACATCCATTAGAACATGCTTCATGCCAAATATCTAAGCTCTAGCTCTTTGGGTTTTTTAGAAGAAGATTTTTTAAGTTTTACTATATGCATATAGGGAAAATCAATGACCCTGGGGCGGGGCCAGTTTTGACCCCAGGGCTTTTATTTGAACAATCTTGGTAGACACTCAGAAGATGTTTCATGCTTAATATCTTAGCTCTAGCTCTTTGGGTTCTTTAAAAGAAGATTTTTTAAAGTTTTTATTATATGCATATAGGGAAAATCAATGATCCCCTGGGGCGGGGCCAATTTTGACCCCAGGGCTTTTATTTAAACAATCTGGTAGACACTCATTAGAAGATGTTTCATGCTTAATATCTTAGCTCTAGCTCTTTGGGTTCTTTCAAAGAAGATTTTTTTAAGTTTTTACTATATGCATATAGGGAAAATCAATGACCCCTGGGGCGGGGCCAATTTTGACCCCAGGATTTTATTTGAACACTCTTGGTAGACACTCACTAGAAGATGTTTCATGCCAAATATCTAAGCTCTAGCTCTTTGGTTTTCTAGAAGAAGATGTTTAAAGTTTTTTCTTTTGGTTGCCATGGCAACCAGAGTTCTGCATGGAATGGAATTCTTTGAACAACTTTGTTAAGGCTTCACACAAGGAACATCCCTGTGAGTTTCATTATGATCGTGACTTATGGTTTCAGAGGAATCGTTTTAAAATGAAGACAATAAACACGACGGCACGTACACGACACGTACAAGAGTTCTAATAGCTACCCTGAGCATATGCCTAACAGGAGCTACAAGCTACCATTAGAATCCTGTAATTCACTGCCTCATTAAGAAAAAACAAACAGAATCAGAGAGCACAAAAAAATATCATCATTGCCCAAACACTGGCTGGACCTCTATCACGACAACCAAGTCTTCCGACAACTTCAAACTTGCGAAATGATCGCAGACAGGCACAGGCGGAGGATACTATTCGCAGTCAAGATTAATGTTCAGCACAGACATCCAGAACTCACAGACTGTGATAGCTGGGCCAAGTAACATGTTGGAGCCAAATCAATGCTATTTGCTCAATTCACACATCCTAAAACATCAATGAACACAGCTACTTCAAATTCAAGATATCTGTTACCGTGGCAACATTCATAAAGGACTCTGTTCTACTCATTGCGGGAGACTTTAAACCTCCCAGGCTGGGACTGGAAATCAAAAACACTGAAAACAGGCACAGCCCATGCACGCCTCCACTATCAGTTCTCAGACTGCCTAGATGAAAATGGACTTATCCAAATTGTTGAAGATACAACAAGAAATAACAACACTCTTGACCTTGTAATAACAAACCTCCTAGCAAAGTACAGCAAGTAACTACAATGCCGGCATATCTGACCATGACACTGTCTTCGTTGAGCTTGACCTCAGCCCTGTCACCCATACCCAAACACCCGGAAGATCCCACTGTACAAGAATGCTAGATGGGATAGCATGAAGGAAGACATGGCAACACTCACCAAACAATCAAGTCTATGGCGGAAAACAACACCGACATCAACACTATCTGGGACAAATTTACAACTACACTGAAAACAAGTATACAACAACATATCCCCCAAAACTGCTAGGCCAAGAGAAACATCGCCATGGATTGACAAAAGCATCAAAAGACTTATTCGAAAACGTGACCGTCTTGATAAGAAAATGAAAAAATCTCAAGACAAACAACATCAAAGAAATTACAAGAACTGCAAACACTTAGTGCAGAAGAAACTCCGACAAGCCTACTGGACATATGTTGACAATATTGTAACACCGCAGCCTTCAGATCCAACATACACAGCAGTCAGAAACGTTTCTGGACCTTCATAAAACACAAGAAGAAAGACAATCAAACAATTACTGGACTAAAAGAACTCCTTTCTGATCCTAAGTCCAAAGCTAACATTCTAAATCGGCAGTTCAAATCTGTATTCACAGACTACATCAAGATCACTGCTGATGACTTCAAGAAGGGGGACTACGTCAATCCACAGTCAACACATCCTGTAGCCCCTGAAATAATCAATAACCACAACGGAATCACCAAACTCCTCGCACTGAACCACATAAAGCTGCAGGACCCGACACCATAAGTCTCGCATCCTCAAGGAATTGGCAACTGACATCGCTCCCAATACTCAACACCCATATTCACTCTGTCACTTGAAAATAGCACCTTCCCTAATGACTGGAAGAAAGCCAATGTATCCCCGGTCTACAAGGCAGCAGATATAACCAGAAAACTATCGCCCTGTCTCCCTAACGTGCATCTGCTGCAAGCTCCTAGAACACATTGTCACCAGCCACATCATGAATCATGCCGAAAAACAGAAGATTCTCTATCCTCTCCAACACGGCTTCAGAAAAAGGCAGATCCTGTGAAACACAGCTCTTGAATTCACAGATGACAATAACCCGGAACATGAAAATGGCAAACAGACTGATGTTTCTCATCATGGACTTCGCCAAGGCCTTCGACAAAGTATGTCACAGCCTTTTATCCCACAAACTGGAGCACTACGGCATCAGAGGCAAGACCAATCTGTGGATTCAGGCCTTCTCAAGCAACCGATCCAATCTGTAGTCTTGGAAGGGGTTACCTCAGATACAGTATCTGTAGAATCCGGCGTCCCACAGGGCTCAGTCCTTGGCCCGAGTCTGTTCCTTTTCTACATAAATGACATCCCAGAGAGTCTCAACGCAGTCGTCCGACTATTTGCAGATGATACGCTGGCCTATCTTGCCATCACAAACAAGTCTGACTGTTCCACCCTACAAGCTGACCTCGACAAACTAGCTGTCTGGAAGAGAAATGGAAAATGTCATTCCATCCAGACAAATGCAAGTCCTCACCATCTCCAAGAAAAGAAGCCCCATCTGCCATAACTACACTTTTCATGGTCATACTCTAGAGCACGTCACATCAGCTAAATACCTTGGATGCACCCTGAATAACAACCTAGACTGGGCCAACATTTACATAACATTTGTAACAAAGCCAACCGTACCACCAGCTTCCTGCGAAGAAACCTCATTATCGCCTCTACTTCCACCAAAGAAACGGCCTACAAAGCTCTAGTCCGCCCCACAGTGGAGTATGCGAGCACTGTCTGGGACCCCCACGAGAAGGGAGACATACACCGTCTAGACATGGTCCAACGACGTGCTGCGCGGTATGTTAAAAACAAGTACCACAACAGGTCCAGCGTCACAGACATGCTTGCAGACCTTGAATGGAAATCATTACAAGAACGTCGAAAGGAGGCCAGACTGATCATGCTCTACAAAGTCATCAACAACAAGGTCACTCTAGACAATTCAAAACTCATACCCTCCAATTCTACATCTACAAGAAATTCACACAACCTATCCTACAAGATACCCTACTGCCGTACACAATACCGTCAACAATCCTTCTTCCCACGTACCATCAAAGACTGGAACAGCCTACCTCCGGACGCTACGTCAGCCGGTACAGTTGAGTCATTCCGTACTCATCTGTCCCAACTCTATATCTAAACCACACTCTTGTCCGTTTTTAACCTGCACTGTATATATATTCCTCACTATTTTTACTCTTTCTTTCCGTCTTGCGCATTAACCTGGCAGTAAACTTCAGTTAGTTGAAGGTGGCCAGTATATTGGAAGAAGAAGAAGAAGAGGAAGAAGAAAATCTATTCATTACTTTTAAGTTTTTAAATAAAACAGGAAGTTAACAACTTGTTTTTGTTATGTTTCCAGTACAGGAATTATTTCATGTATAGTGTTTTAGCTTGACTATTGGAAGAAAACTGGTACAACAAATCAGGGTATGACTGTCTGCAAAAGTTTGTATCAATCTCTAAAAAACTGCAACGAATGGTTATAAATACCCCGAGGACTGAAAGACAATTCATAATATTGAAAGATATAATTAAAAGGCCACCTAAGTGGAAATAATACAAACATAAATTTTGGCAAAGAATGTCAGAAAAAAAGAATGAAAAGGCTGGTGCAGTCGCGGTGTCATCATGTTATGTGTATCTCGGTACTACATAAACTTCCATGTTATCATACGTATGTAACAATTTCGAATTGTATATATCAGTTAGTAGGAAATGAATCAAATTTACGTTTTAAAAATGTAAGATCAACTCGAATTAAGTAACAACGATTTGTACATCACTGGTAGTCTTAATTAT